TGAGCTGCGTGACAGTGTCCCTATTAAGAACGCACTGAACAAGATTTTGATTGATCCCTCGCCAACTCGCGAAGACACTACAGAGCCGGTTCATCGAGATGTTGTCGAGCTATTGAAAACGAGTACTTTACTGCATGACAAAGATGAATCTCTCGCGGCAGAACCGGGGTCTAGCGACACACAAGGGTCCCTTTCAAGGATTGACCTTAGCCGCGACCGCAAAGCAGAGGCTGGGGCGCGTCTTGGACTTGAGACCACAGATCTAGCAACCCGTCCTAAGAAGGCTGACGTCTCACACTCAGTCACTACAAAAGCGCATACCGGGACGAGGGATGTATCAAACCCCATGCCGCCGCAATCTCGGGGTCGGGGACAGAACCTCCCCATCGGATCCGCCGGCGAGCGAACTCATTTGCGCCTTCCATCACCGAGTGGCCAATCCATGGAAGAGTCAGAATGGACTTATGGCTCAGTGACAGAAACGACAGAGTCTGCACGTGCGTGGGCGGCCGAGGTCCTAGACGAGCCACCAGGGGGAACACGCAATTCAGTTCTCTCCAGCATTGCGCCTGTGGTTTTGCGCATCATCCTACGACACTTTCGTGCTTGGACGGAGAGAACTCCTGGTTCAGGCAATGGGACCGCAGCATCATCCGGCCCGCTGAGTGGCGGACGGCCAAACAAACGACCTCGAAAACAGCCTGGTCGAGGGGGCCCTCCCGATGACAACGGTGATGACGACGATGACGAGGCTGAGCAGAACGGAGACCGCAAGCGAAAGAAAAGCAACGAAGACGATGCGGACAATAAGACCCTGGCCTGTCCGTACTTCAAGAAGGACCGTCGGGCGTACGGAAGTTGTTGTGGCAGAAAGCTAAGCAGGATCCGTGACGTCAAACAACACCTAAAAAGACGGCACTACCTACCGATATACTGCTCATTCTGCAACGAAGTATTCACAGACGAGAAAATTAGAGATCAGCATGTCATCCGGAGGAACTGCGAGAGGGGAACATGGCCAGAGCCCGAGGGAGTCAGTCTCATGCAACAACAAGAACTGAACAGACGAGCAAACAGACAGCTTCCAGAAGATGAACAGTGGCATGCAATCTTTAGAATCCTTTTCCCAGACGCCCCCCGGCCATCTTCAGCATACATCGACCCAAGCCTCTCCGACAGTGCCTTGGCATATCAAGAGTATGTGACAGTCCGCGGACCCGAGATCTTGCGACGGACTCTGGCAGAAAGCGGTGCTGTTGTCACGTTGAATGAAACCAACGTCGATGATGTCGATAACTTCCTTCGCCATATTCTGGGAGAAGGCTTAGAGGCTATTGCAAAGGCCTGGGCCGAGGAGAAAGCGCCCGTTGCTGGAGAAATGGCAAACACGGGGGTAGTGACGCCGAGCGAAGGCGAGTCACTAGAGATGATAAATGCCAGCGCATCTTCTGTCTTCCCCAGCGGCAGTCTTTCGTCTGCGTCAATGCCAGACTACTCGGACTATGCCCGCAGTCATCCCGACGTGTTCTCTTGGTCAGAACATCATGATCTACTATTTAATCAGATCCCTGATCTGGGTTCGGTCGGTTTGTTGACCGAAGATGATCTTGATGATGTGCAGAGGGCTCTCCAGCAATCTTCGATTCCGGATGCGAATGGTGCGGCGCCTCGGCAGTATTACACACATAACCGGCCCATGGAACGATAAGCTGGAGAAATTGGTGCAGAATAGATTTTTCTTGGTTAACTTATACAGGGAAATTACTCGCAGTTTAAGTAAGAGGGTTAAGAAGTATGTTTCGCGCGCTTCTTTGTCGAGTTCTGTTCATGGGTTCATGGTTTTACTTGGCACACGCAAATATTGGCTCATTTTGTGTTGTATTTGTTAGTCGGTACACCTACATGTACCATTTTCGTGTTCGGCGGTTGTCATGACAACAACCATCTGTCAATCTATTTTCTCAATTTCCTCACTAGGACCTCAAAGGGGAAAGCCACCAGTACTGAGGCTGCTAGGCTCTTGGCCATCGCATCCATCCTTCTTCGTATCCACCATCACAAACTCAACATCCTTGGCAGCGAAAAACTGCTTGAAGTCGATGCGGCATCTACCCTTAGCCACACCATCAAGCTTGACAGTATCGACATAGGCTCGGGCGCCTGAAGGTATGATGCGTGCTAGACTAGCCGGGTCGAACCCTGTGACCTTCACGTTGACAGTTCCCATAAGTTCGTTCTTCACGACATAACCAGGCATGAAGGGCGAAAGTACCAACATCTCCCCGGATGCAGGAACGGGATAGAATCCCAGCAGATACCATGTTAAAAGACTGGCCATAGCCGCGTTGTCATCGTTCCCAGGTAAGCCCCCGCGGGTCAGGTTGAAATTGTCGTAGACAATACGTCGAACCTGCTGGACTGATTCTGCAGGTTTCCCGATATGGTGGAAGAGCGACGGTGTCTGGAAGCTTGGTTCGTTGCCGGGAAGATAATAACCCGCATCGAAGAAGTGGTGTAAGCGGTCTTCGAAAGTTTTGTTGCCCCCCAAGAGTTCGACAAGCCCCTTCACGTCGTGAGGTGCGTAAAGACTGTATTCCCAACTGGAACTTTCGTAGATGCCGAACGTATTGGTAGCCTGCGTGCTGCAGGGACGCGTTGAGTTGCTATCGCGCGGGGAACAGTCGGTCGGATTCGACGGAGCAAAGGTGCCGTTCTCAAACCTTCGGGCCACGAAGTTGGAAAAGCCGTCCGACTGGAGATTGGGGTTGAAGTTGTTGTGATACGACAGACTACGCTTGAAGTACGGATCTGAAACTGAGGCAGGCTGCTTTAGCGCGCGTGCTGCCATACCAACGGCAAAGTCCCCAAACGCATACTCGAGCCCACGACTTGCTTCTCGTGATCTTTGACCCACGGAGGTCGTGTCCAAGTAGTCGTAAGCAATGTAGCCCATCTTGTTGTAGGTCTCTATGCGGCGGCCCTCATAGTCCCAGTTTGGTGGCGCTTCATCAACATCATGCTTCAGCGCTTTCCAGAAGTCGTCCATCTTAAGTCCTAATTTGTCCGCTTGATCCGCGTATTTGACGATGAAGTCCGCTACAATGGGAACGCCATTGTTGCCTCCCTGAACATACCCCTTGACGTTATTGGCTCTGCATTCGGGCAACCATCCTTCCCTGCGATATCCGTCGATGTAGGTATCGACGATCTGGGCCATCTCTCTTGGAGATGTCAGTGCCATTAGGGGAAACAAAGTTCTGTACGTGTCCCAAGAGCAGTACAGCCCATCGAAATAAGGATGCGAAGTGTCAGTATATGGCGGAGGCGCGTTGCCGGTGGCATTATTAGGCGAGACGAACGTCCGGTAAAAGGAGGTGTAGAACAACTTTCTGATGGGATCGGTTGTGTCGTCGGACAAGACTATGCGGCCCAGCTTGTCCTCCCACATTGCGTTACTCGCTGCTACAACCTTGTTGAAGTCGGTATCTGGTAGCTCTCGCTTCATATTCTTGCATGCAACCTCTGTTGAAGTGTACGAAACACCGCGACGAACAATGATGGGACCTTTCTGGTCCGACGGAGGCTTGAAGCGGACGATAGCCCCAGCCTGTGTTGGCTGTTCGAAGTCCGGTCTGCCGAGACGCTGTGCTATGGGAGGTAGAACCCACTGGTCCAAGTCGGCACGTACGGCATCCATTCCATTCGCATTGCCTCCGAAGAATGCATGGTCCGTAATAGTACCAGCAACGGACAGATCAACACATTGGAAGGCAGTATATGTGAATTGGCTGGGCCCGAAGCTGCTCCGGTACGTCCCGTTCATTGTCAAACGCTGTGATTTCCAATCAGCATGCATCTCTCCATACAAGAATGAGTGTTGCGAGTCGTCGGTCCAATCCAGAACCAAAGTCGGTGTTGACCCCTCTGGAAAGGTGTACCGCTCCAGAGATGCCGCCTGAGTTGATGCGAGCTCGATCCGCACACCATTGGCAAGCGGGGTGCTGAAATATCCAGGAAACCCCGTATCGTTGTTACCGTCGCCCACTCTCCTCTGAGACCGTGGCTGCTCGAGTCTTGGACAATCCAGAAATTCGTTGCAAACGACAGGCATGATGCAAAAGTTGCCATAGCTGCCCGCAGAGCTACCAGTGCCGGAATCGTGCAACGGCGATACGCCTCGGGTCAGTTCAGTTGAGACAGACACATATCCCGCTGGAGCATAGCCGGCTACTTGGACGGTAACCTTTGCCATACCGAAAGGCGTGGCTGCGCCGGCAAACACGTTGCCAGGGTCGTCATTCTGTGCTGTTCCCGTGAAAATATTGACATGTTGCGTCAAGGGGCCTGGGGCAAGGTCTGCGGCCAAAACCGCAGAGAGTGCCACTGCTGCGATGAGTAGAGAGGACCAAAACATGGTTGTGTGTGAGTTGAGGACTAAACAATATGGGCGGGCTGCCGAGTGTTCGGATGGGTCACGACTGCTCACTTCTTCAATCTAGAAGTGGGATGGAAAGAACTATAGGTTGTCAACTACCTAGTAGACAGGTGACACGGACATTTCGGGCGATTACGAAGACGCGCAATTGCCGACATGATCAACGTGGAAAGGATGGCTTGAATTCCAACCTTGATTTTAGCTTAGCGAAACCGCGCTCTAGTCGAACTCTGATGCACAACCCCTCTTCCCCTCCTCGATCACGTAATTCATCGACATTGAGATGAACCATTATTTTCTATGCCGAGCTGGGATAGTAACAGTAACTGAAGGGCCCTTTCCGCGGGATAAGGTTACGAGATGTCGCAATGTTTATGTTGTCTTTACTGCCATCCACTTAATGTCTCAATGATCTAGATCCTTGTATTCCTTACTGACTCTGTCCAACCATGCCTGGTTTTCCTTTTCCTAGCAAGCTCGGCTCTAGAAAACCCCATAAGATGCGCAGAACAAAACCATCGATACATGTTGAGTCCTTGATGTCGGTCTCCCGCCAATGAATCGATTACAGGGACAGTGACTCAATGACAGCTATAGCGTAAAGTATCTAGAGATAGCTTGTCAGAAATCGCTGGAAGAAGGCCTGATTTGTCATTCGATACTTACTGCTGCCACGAAGTAGGGTAATCCAACTCCTCTGGGAAACCTGGACTGGAGACCCAGGTCAAATAGGCCAGCGAATGCAAAAGTACCCGATAGCCCGGCGAGTAGCTCGATCAGTGCAGCCCCGGCGAAGAGCTCACCCGTGGATGAAGGGTTTGCGAAGGAAGCCAATGTGCCTTGGAGAGCCTGGCCGATTCCGTACCCTGTAGATTCGAATACCGAACCTGAACGAAGATGAATTTTAGAAATCCGTACCACATTACGATGATGGGAGGAATTAGGACTAACCCACGACGAGAGTCGCCGCATCTCTGCTGAGACCGACCAGTAACGCTCCCAACGCTAGCATCGCCAGGCTTAAGATGACCACTCGCCTGTTCAGGAGCAAGGTTGCGGCTTCGCCCCGGCGACTGGCAGCTGTTGACATTCCGGCGAGTAAGATAAGTAGCATGAGGGAGATGAAGCTCTTGACTGATATGACATATCCCGCGTTGGCGATGGGCCAGTTTAATACCTTGGATGCGTATTGAACGAACAGGCTCGAGCATTCTCTCGCAAACTTAGATATGAAGATGATCGACAGTGTGACCTTTGCTCCCTTGGGAAGGCCCATGAGACCCCGCCCAGCTTTCTTGACATTGTTGGCCCCTCTTCTCAGGAGGATGTGTAGGAATGGTTTGTTCTATCATCAGATCAGGTCAGCATGTAGTAAACCAGGATTCGTGGGGCAAACATCAGCCGCGTACCGTATCTGAGCTGTCCACAGACATATCGTCGGCCCCATCACCAGAACTATGTTTAGGATCATGAGTCTCAGGCAGAACGCCAACTAGCACCAACGACGCGAGAAGTATAGGCATAGCGACTTTGAAGGCTAGCCACAAGTCTTTCAGCAACAACTGAGAACCAATGGGAATCATCACAGTTTCGGTAATGAGTAACCCCGCCCCAGTAACGTAGAAAACCGTTGGACGCATACTAGGAGGAACAGTATCCACAACGATTGAGTTGAGACTGGCGACCAAGACGCGATTGCCGCCACCGATGATGCGGAAGATTGGTGTCAGAAGGACCATGTTTGTCGAGAAGGCACGGTGGAAGTACACTGTAGCTACTTAGTCAACTGGGTCTGGCATCCATAAGGATGCAACTCTGCTCACGAATCCCGATAGTAGCGAACATCTCCAGGATCTGACCGAACAATGAAAGGAAGACCACAAGCTTGCGGCCAACTCTGTCCGAGAGATATCCGTACGGAAAGGTTAGAAGAATGCCTGAAATCACCCTCGATTATTAAGGTCTGTTCAGAAAGTCAAGGGGCTCATGCACATCAGGCAGTTGTCTTCACCTGGGATGGTCATGATCAGTCCTTTCGTGGCCCGAAGATACGCCATTCTCGTCTGGATCTCTCTCAACTTGCAAAGGCTCTCATCCACGTAAGACAAGGGAGGCTCCCCGATGACCGTTGGGTCGTGCTCCATGTAGTAGTCTCTACAGACTGCCATTTCGAAAGCTCGGACTTCGGGAACACCCAAAAGCGAGGACCCAGCATCCGCCAGGAAGCATATGGCGAAAACGATAAGTATCGCACTCGGGTATCGTGGGTGTTTCGCTGCACCCTCCCCACTTGCCGATATCAGAGGAGTCTCCGGTGCAGTCTCCGCTTCAATCGGATCCGCATTTTCGAGCAGAGGGGATGTCTCCCGCGCCATCTCGCGATCTTGTCGAGAGCAGGAAAGGGCTGTGTGTTCAACTGTGGAAGGAAAGAAAGCTTAAAGGGACTCAGAAATGCTTCACAAAATCATTCGAAATCGCATGCAGTTCACAAGACTTTGAGATTGAGGTCGTTTTACGTTTGCAATTTCGAGTCGTCGGAGTCGCGAAAGTGTTTTTGGTGGGCAGCAAAGTAATGACCGCATACGTTGCCTGCCCACGTCACTTTAGCCAAGAAGGAAGGTGGATTTCGCTGTGCCGCAGCCGCAGCGTTGGAATGGAACTGATCGACATACGTACATGTACGGGATGAAGTTCCGTCAACAATGGGCCAGTCGCTATCCCTTTGGCGCACAGCCCCTGTCATTGATGATAACGAAATATTCTCCGATGTCACGACTGCGAAGCCTGTGGTGGAGTTGCTGTGTTTTTAATGCTCGTGGCTGGTTAAAGAGTGATGGAACGATGACTCGTCGCCGTGATAAGGGAAAACGAAAGAGGGTGTGTGTGTTGGCAGGAAAAAGAAACGCCTGCAATCCAGGGATGATTATCTGTGTTGGTGGCGCAAAAGCCACTTTCACTGGCCTTGCTAAGCGAAATGATCTCTCTTCGCCAGCGTTGAAAGAGACAACCCGTGGACGAGTCTAGACGAAGTGAAGCTTGAACATGGCTATGCAACTAAATTCCAGCGCGCTCTTGAGTGCCGTTGAAGGAGATGACACCTTGATAAGCCACACATGAAGCGCTTTCCTAAAACGGATCGCCGCTGACAGCAAGCCCACGAACTCAAATCACCAACCCCTCATTCGCTGGTACTTTGGTAAGACATGCCACTTTCGCGTCTTCACCAACCAATCAGAGCCTTTTCAATCGATGTCAGCCGCCTGGTGTGTCTAACTTTCAGTAGACATCAACCCGCTCGGCCCGCCGCGTCTTCCCCGTACTTCCCGATCGTGGGGGAGACGACGTTCATGATAAGCACCCGCGTCCGCATCCACCGTCCGTCCACAGCATAGAGGTCCAGGATTGCTGTTTGTGCTCATTCGTTTTTGTGTTTTCACGATGCCGCGCATCATTGCGGATGGCAGCCATGTCTGGGCAGTGGTCTTTGCGGTCGTCATCACGGGATTCCTCTACTTCCTCACAAAGCTATATGCAGCGCGGGAGAAGATATGGAAGATGCAGAGAGCAGACCTGGTACGATATCGTCAAATTCCAACTTTCTCAACAATGTCTAAATCCCGATACAGCCAATGCCTAAATTTTCGTTCCTCGCGGGCCACTTTCTAGTGCTCGGCAAAGTCATGCGACTGCTGCCGTCTGACTCCATCATCCACAACATCATGTGGTACATCTCAAAAGACTATCCGAAGGGCATCTTTTACATCAGTCTCTGGCCGTTCAGCGGAACTGTCATGTTCATATCCGATGCAGATGCCGCGGCTCAGCTTGAAAGCCTGCCCCTCGCCAAGGGCACTGACATCATCAATCCCCTCGAGCAAATTACCGGCGGCCGAAGTCTATTGACGATGGATGGAGATGAGTGGAAGCGATGGCGGCGGTTGTTTAACCCGGGCTTCAGTCCAGGGTATATGATGGCCTTGGCTCCCGCCATCGCAGACGAGGTTGCCGTATTTCGGCAGAAATTGTTTGATCGGTGCTCCGAGGGCTTGAGCGAGGTTTTCCAGCTAGAGGACTTGACTCTGAGGATGACATTTGATGTCATTGGCTCTGTAGTATTGTGAGCATACTCGTCATGATTGAGACTCACCTCGCTCACCTATCGGTCCAGGGACTCCCGCCTACGCCATCAACTGATAGACCACCCACTAGCCACATCTCTGCGCAAGCAAATTATGTGGACCTCCTTCACAGAACCTTTGCATCCGTTGACAAAGCTATTCACAATACGACCGTTTGTGTTGTGGTACAACGGCAAGCAGGTTGACCGATACATCCATGCCGAGTTGGATGACCATCTTTCGAAGCGCTCGGCCCAGCCTCAGACTGGTTCGACGAGGTCAAAGTCTATAGCGTCGCTGTTTATAGATGAGTATCTCAAAGATGCCGGCGAGAAGAATACCAACAGCACCAACGAGACTCTCAAAAAGATCATCACTCCGCAAGTGCGTCTCTTCCTTCTCGCTGGACACGACACCACCAGCAGCACCCTTCTGTACTCCTATTACCTCCTCGCCAAAAATCCAGAAGTCCTGTCTCGAGTAATAGCCGAGCACAACGAGATTTTTGGTTCAAGGCCATCACAGTCCAAGGACAAGATCCAGGCAGATCCTCAACTCCTTAACCAACTTCCATACACCATGGCCTTCATCAAAGAGGTACTGCGGATACTACCGCCAGCAGGTGCCCTGCGACAGGGACGCCCCGACCTGAACATCGTCGACGAAGACGGCAAACTGCATCCGACCGAAGGCTGCAACGTCTGGACTCTTCCGCTCGCCATCCATCACAACCCAAAGTACTGGAAGGACCCCGAACTCTGTATGCCCGAACGTTGGCTCGTTGGACCCGAAGATCCTTTGCATCCCCCCAAAGCAGCCTGGCGGCCGTTCGAGTGGGGGCCGCGAAACTGCATCGGGCAGACATTGGCGTTACTCGAGTTGCGGGTTGCGTTGGTAATGACTGTGCGGGAGTTCAGCATCACGCCTGCGTATGGTGAGTGGGATCAGATGTATCCTAAGCGTGGAGTGAGGACGATCAATGGCGACAGGATGTACCAAGCCGTCAAGGGTGGAGGGGGTGGGCATCCCGCTGATGAGTTTCCTGTGAGAGTCGAGCTGCGAAAGCGATAGACAGATCCAGCCATTTAGAAAATCGAATCCAAGCCTTCATAAACTCTAGAAATTGGAAGTTTGTGCCGAAGACTCTGTCTTATGAAGGCATTTGAGTCGCTGGCGCGAGATTCCCTGGATCCATGTGGAGACGAAGGCAAGATACACAGTTGTCTCTGATCTCATTGAAAGACATCTGTAGTTGATGTGGGAATGTGCCAGTACTCGGACAAATTTAAAATGATTGACGGACTTTTGGGTTTAGCTGTGCGTCCGAGTCGTAAAACCGAAATTCAAACTCAATGGAAGAAACCCACGAGCATCAGAAGAAGAACTCGACCTCTGTTGCGGAAGAAACCCACCTTTCGGATATAAGCCATCTGCCCAGACATAGACACGTACGTGTTTTTCTTCAATAACACTTTCAATCCCACCATGCGGGAGCCGTAGGCTTGATCTGATAACATCAAATCGGACTTATGTTCGGGATCGGCCGTAAGCTGACAGGGCAAAATAAGCCACTGGCAGCAGTTGACTGCGAACACACGAATGGCGCGTGCCGTTTGTGTTGACAGTGAGTTTGCGTGAGACAGGGGTCGCACCGCGACGTTCTTATCCACCAGCCAAGCGGTCAAGCTCCATCAGTCGCAACATCTGGGGTCTTTCAGTGGCCACAACGGGGCCGAGCCGAGCATGATGGAACAGGCGTTGCACGGCCTGATTAAATGCGCAGTGGAGACGCCTCTGTGTCTTGCGTGTTCCGGGCTGCAGTTGCATTCGGGGCCCTTGAATTTTCCGCAGAAGACGATCTTGTTTCCTAATTCTTGCGATCTTCGCAATGCGGACGGCATCGTGTCCGCTCATTTACCACCTTGATTGAGTGAGCATCCCTGCTGACGTCCGGAAGGTAGCGTATCGACTTCATATAAAACTTTGGTTCTTTCAGGCGTTCTTGCCTTTTTTGAGTTGCGTCTTCTCATCTTCATTGGCGTCTTTCCTTGCCATAGCGGTCAAGATCAGAATCCTTCTTCAGCATCACCTCAAATCAACTAGCCATCACAAAACAACATCATCAACATGGCGACCCAAGATAAGAAGCGCCAAGTCATCATTGTCGGCGGTGGCATCACTGGTTTGGCACTTTCCTTGATGCTTCAACATAGCGGAGTTGACTACATCCTGCTCGAGGCATACGACTCCGTCACCCCTAACGTCGGCGCTAGCATCGGCCTGTTTCCCAATGGCCTCCGCATTCTCGACCAGCTCGGTCTCTTCGAGGACATCCTTGCCAAAGCACAACCAGTCAATTCCATGATCGTCAGAGACATGACTACAGGAAAGCGCATCATGACAAGGAAGCCGCGACAGCTCATCACCGAGCGCCACGGCTATCCAAACATGTTCATGGAACGCCACGAACTGTTGTGCGTCATGTACAAGCACATCAAGGAGAAGAACAGGCTCTTTGTCAATAAGAAGGTCAAGCGTGTTGAGACCCGAGAAAACGGGGCCACGGTGTACACGGAAGACGGGTCCGTGTTCCAGGGCCAGATCGTTGTCGGCGCAGACGGCGTGCGCAGCACCATCCGCCGGGAAATGTGGAGAAACGCCGATGCCGCGAACGATTCCGCCGCTATCCCGGCGCGCGACAGACAAGATATCCCTTGCGAGCACGCTTGCATCTTTGGCACCGCCAAGCCTACCGACGGCATCGCGGCCGGAGAGGTCACCGGTGCGAGCGGCCACGGCACACTCGCAGGCTGCATGGGAGGCCCCGGGGCCGAGGTCTTCGTGTTTTGGTTCTGGAAGCTGCCTGACGGGCAACGTACGTGTCCCATCAACGACATCCCTCGGTTCGACGACGAGGACAAGGTCCGCGAGTTTGCGCGGGGCGCGGACAAAACGGTTGCCGACAACGGTCTGAAGTTCGGCCAGGTCGAGAAGAACTTGCTCTACAGCGGCGTCACAGCTCTGCCGCACTTCGTGATGCGAAGATGGCACTACGGCCGCATCGTCATCCTCGGCGATGCCGCGCACAAGTTCAACCCCCTGGTCGGCCAAGGTGGCAACAGCTGCATCGAGTCCTGCGCCGCACTCGTCAATCAGCTTCAGGCACAGAACCTGCTGGGCCCCCAGAGCAGCAACCCGGCCTCCTGGCCTGTGGCAAGCCTGAGCAAGGCGTTTGTCGCCCTCGAGAAGCAGCGCGTCGACCGCCTGGTCGATATGGTTGAGAGCTGCCAAGACGCTATGCGCAGCTCCGCTTGGGAGTCATGGAAGCTCAGAATGCTGCACAAGTACATGCTGCCTTTGATGCCGCTGGACAAGTACGTCGACTACTACAGCCAGCAGATTTCTGGCGGCCTGCGTCTGCTGAGCATCGACCCGCCCAAGGCCGCTCACAACTGGCCGTATTCTGACGAGAAGACACCCGAAGAGAAGTCGCTCGCTATCAGCAAGACCGGTGTTGTGGCTACGATTCCTGTGGCGGCTCTCACTGCGTTCATCTTGGCTAAGGTGCTGCGCAGCGAGAATGGGCTCGGTGGATCGATGTTGATGTCTCGGGTTTTCGAGAAGGTGGCTAGCTTCAGACAGTAAGCTTTTGATAACACACGTTGAGCGTTTTGCAGACGGCTAGAATGGCCAAGGAAGTTTTCATATCCTGATCAGATTGTGTTGTTTCCGATTTCCTTTAAGGCTTTCCTTCAGAACATAGAGAAGCAATTTCAACTTCATTCCTAGAAACAATAGAGACTTAACATAGACATCTTTCAACTAAGCAAACCTGAACTAGGTTAAGGCAAAGCCCTCGTTGTATTGATCATGTATTAGCATAGAAGTGGCCATCGGCGCATCTGCCTGCAAACATCCACCCATGTCGGCGATCCTCTCACGCCTCCAGCCGCATCCCGCTGCCTCCAGACTTCTTTCAATACATCCTTAGAAACACCATAGCCTTTCCATCCAGACTTCGCATTCGCTCTGCTTAACCAAGCTTCAAAGCTTTTGCGTTGCTCCGCTCCTGTGGCCTCTGCCCCGGCAATGAAAGCCGGCCAAGCGGTTCCGGGTCCGACTAGTCCATGCTTTTGCAAGGCCTCATCAAACATGTGAAGAGAGTCCATCACCTGATTCACGCTGTCTTGGAGCATCATCGGATGAATGTTTCGGATTCGTCGATAGAAGAAAATCACCAGAGCCGCGCTAAGAGCGCGTGCCATGTGGATGTGAGGCCGGCTTTGATTGGACTCGGTCTGAGCTGCAGATTGATACCGCGCTTTGAAGGAGCATACAGCTTCCTCTAGATATGCTGCCTTGGGCTGCAGCGATGCCAAGGTCTCCGCATCTGATTTACCCTGCGACGGTGACAGCCTATCCATGACATTGGCAAGCCGGGTAACCTGGGACACGAGCCGCAGCCAGGTCTCGGGAACACCGTATATCCGCATGTGCATGTCCTCACGACAGTTGAGTGAACTGACGAGGTGGATGTCTCGTGTATCGTCATGTCGGCGGCCACGGCTTTCGGAGTCGGACTGTAGTTGGAACTGCTCTAAGTGCAAGAAACTGTCCAGAGTGCTGTCAGGATTGATGTTGTGCAAAGACCCGGCTTGTCGAGACCGTGATGTTCCCGAATCATCATCGTCCGGTGTGTTCAGCCCCGTGCTGGCTAGCTTCAGTGGCTTGAGTGTGATTTGGCTTTCGTCATGGAGTACCTTTGTACTCTCAGATACAATCCTCATCCACGCATAAATGTTATGGAATAGGCGGGCCCGACGCGAGAGCTTTGGCTTGGTTAAACCTCGAACTCGGATGAGCCTTTCCATCTCCACGAGATATTTGTGCGACTCGGCCTCATTACCGGATAATAACTGGAGAAACATTCAATGGTCAACCAAGAAGCCATCAATAAGTGCCCTGCTTGATGAATACTTACGGCGCTTGCTAGTACTGCTCCAACAGCCATGAGCTGCTCCTTGTACTTCGCCTTGCTGGTAGAATTCCGCCTGGTTTCGCTCTCAAGGCTTATTTTCAAATGTATCTTAGCGGCTTCATATGTCCGATCCGAAAGGAAGTGCCAGTAGTCACCAGGTCTGCTCAACGCCGGGAAGGCACCGGGATTTAGAGACAGATGGAACGCTGACACGGCGAGTAAGCCATACAAATTTGCAAGACTCGCGTGTCTAATATCTTTCTTATCCACGCCAAACATGGTAATATGGCTCAGAGTGAGAATGGCGGAGGGTACGTTGAGAATTCTCCAACCGGACTTTTCGTTGATCGGTAGGGAACCCATCTGGTTGATGACCTCTTCATTGAAGTGTTTGAGCAGCGCTGGAGCGTCGACGACCCAGTCTACCTCAGGCCAAGCCATGCCTTCCAGATCCGCGTCAGTTCCATCAGGAAATGCATCCCCACCGTGACCATGAATGTCTCCGGTGTTTCCAGTACTCCATGGCCCCGATGGGTGGTTGGTCAGATCATGGCTTTCAATACTGCCCATGGGCAGAGGGCCTGACTCAAGTCCTGGCACTTCGGTGTCCCACGTAAACAGGTCTCCCCATTGCAGGAAGTCCAGTGATGTCGAGAAGAGATCGTCCAACGCATTAGACATGCCAGCGCTATCGTCCACCGAGTCTGCATTATTGGTCGAAGCGACGTCACCTGTATCCATTTGGGGTTCCGTCTCATCACAGTAAGTGGGCATAGAGGAAGACATTGTAGTAATGGGGGACACAAATGAAGCTTCTGCGATTGATGCCGATCTGCATGTGGTTGCCGTAGGGGATGTCATTGCTGTATTTTCGACACTGGGAGCGCCCTCTTGAACTGATGGGAATCCTGAGAACACCCCAAAAGGTCCCACAGCAACTTCCTCGGCATGTGATTCAGCATTTCTTGCCTTCTCATCGATTTTATTGAGTGCCGACGTTATCGTCGACGGCATATTGGCCACCATGGCAGAGCTCATTGATTTCCTCGATGATTCTAAGAATTTGTCATTCTGAAGTCCCCTCCATCCATCAAGGTGAGTCATGACTCACCACTGAACAGGTGTCGTCTTGAGAATTGTCCAGTGTTCTCATCTGCGTTCTGAACAGATGCACTGCCTGCGTCTGGTCCCGTACTGACAAACCACCGCAGGGCTGGCCTAAAGTCACAGGAAAGTCCGGCCAGCTTACATCTTTTACATCTCGGCAATGTCTGATCGCACTTCAAATGACGCCTCCTGCACGTCTTGCAACCCTCGAAAGTGTGCGAGTTCTTGGTTTTGGGACTTTTCATGTTTGCGTCGGATGGGATGTTGTAGAACATGGAGAATGAGCAAAACAGGAAGGGTTCGGGATCTCTATCCTAAGCGGGCAGAGGTCTGTTTTAGACAAGTCGCGTATCTTCGGCCACGACGGCTTGGTTCCTGACAAGGTTGAAGCTGATAAGGCAAGCCAATTGAGAACCCGATTATTTACCCCGCATCGCGTGGAGAAATGCATGATATGGTTATCTGACAGTTATCGCCCCGTTGTGAGTCAAGCTGGGAAGGCCTCCGCGACGAGCATGACAATGGATCCACTTTCTTTGTGAGACGTCGAATTAGATGTTGCTCATATGTCACTCGATCTGGGACTCAATGGCGAAGACACCCACACTCATGGTCATGTAAATGTCACGGGAGAGAATACGTGAACATGATCAATTCAACTGCGGATGCAATGGTCCAGCCACCAGGCGAAGAGGGAACCAACCCGACTCGCAACTTGCATGCCACATTGAAATCTCATCCAGTCACGTTCACCAATTAAAGCCAGGGATATTTCTAGAACCTGCAAAAAAACAAAACTCAAACGCTCATACTTTATTTGAAGGGCCAAGACTGCCCTTGAGACTAAGCCTGTCCCACCAGTCGAGTTCTCTCGCTATTTCATCGCCAATACTTGTATCGACTGGCGACAGTGAAAGCTCGGTTCCGGTTGATCGAGTAGTTCCAGTGATCTCTTCGAAGTGTTGTTTCCTGTAGTAAATAGATCGTCTCAGCGGAGCCGCCTCACTAGTTCCCTTCCTGGAGATCTTCGTACTTATGGTTTTCAGCAGTGGTCGCAGAGCGGGGAGGCTCGCGCACAGGATAGCACAAAACACCTCAATCAGAGACCAGATGACCACGTCAACATTATCCCAAGTGACGTCGTAGGTTGCCGAAAATTTGATGAGAAACTTGAGTCTCACCATGCTTGTTATGCAAGCACTGAAAACCGTGTTAGTAAAAAGAACTAGCCATGTTGAGGGGATGACTCGATGAAAACTCACAATGATCCTAGGCTGAAGATGAGACCAAGCCCAACCTTCTTCTTCGTGCTGAGTTGCAGCTTAAGCAATTCAGGCACCGGAAGTAACAGGATTCCAAAGTCTTCGATGATACTGAAGGCTGCTCCGCTGTACACGATGGCCGTGATATCCTTGCAGGTGCGGTCGGGGTTGCTCAGGTCCCAGATCGATGAGATTGGGGTGCACTCGAAGATGATGAGAAACATGTAAATGACTCCGTGTAGAACCAAAAACAAGATGAACCATCGAATCGTGTTGTGGAACCAGCGGGAGGATGAGAAGAGTCGATCGAATAGAAGGAGGATGGATATCTTGGCGAAAAGCTGGACCAGGATGTAAAGTTGCTGCCCGGCGTAAAAGAGCTGAATGAGCGTGACGCTGTTCGAAGGCTGAACGTTCCAGTAGTGTAGTCCGAAACCCAGCTCAGTGCCTGCGATCTGTACACCAGCCATCACGGCCAGCAGGAGCGTGGCGATAATGACCATGTAGTCATCCCACCACATCTTTCGTGTGACGAGCCATCTGGCGAAGCATCGCAACGCGACGATCGGAAAGGTGATGACCGAAAGGGCAATGGCGACATCCTTCGCTTCTTTACTTCTTGATGGTTTCGGATACGCGACGCATAGGTCGGTTTGGAGCTGGGCGGCACCTGGTCATGGTCAATCTTCATGACATCCCTCGGGTGCTCATTGGATACCCACGAGTCTGGTCGGTGAAGAAGCAGCTCTGTTGCACACAGGTAGAAAGAGACGCCTGAAGATCGATGTTCGGGCAAAGACAATCGGTGAGAACGGGGACTGAAGTCAATTTACAGCCCCCCTTGATAAGTCCATCCGTAACACAACTCAGCTATACCCACGAACCGCTGTTAGTAAGCTTACATCGTCAGTAACAGAAACGATTCAGACTTACCGCGCAGTTTGGTACTTGGGAAATCAAACTGGTGATGCTTGTCGTCTCAGACGAAGAGGTCAAATGTACCAAAGACAAAAGCAGAAGCACCAAGAGGTCATACTGACGGTTTCTGGCGTTGGTGAACATTTCTTGAAACGCACAAGAAAAGCCGCTGACCACCAGACGGCGAGGGCATCGGGAGAAGCAGAAGGAAGAGAACAAATGAGCAGCAGCAAGCTTCCATAGCAGAACGAGGGATCATCTGTTTGGTGGCACTGCCATCCCATTTAAGAAAACAACATTACGAAAGCGAGATGGGAACGGACGTCCACATGGTTGTTGGCGTATGTCCAAAACGCGCGGCGCGTTTACATGGAGATCTGCGCGGTGCCACCGGCCCAGTTCGACACTGGGGGCGGTTGAACACCCGAGCTGTGTCCAGAAGAGGCGGTTGAATGCGAAAGGAGATTGTCTCACGGACTGCGAGCCAGTAAAGCGGAAAGGAGTCCACCTGTCACAGTCCTCTTGCTGGCGCGGTCAGCGGTGGGCAGGTTGTCTCGGAGAGATAAGGGGCGATCCTGCCTTCGAACTGCCGCGGGGTACTGAACATCATAGACTTTCTGGATATGAGGACCAGTTTCGTAGCCAAAGTGGCCTCCATTTAGATATGAGATATCCGTCAATCGGGCCGTTGAAATCTATCCCACCGGGTTTTATTCTCCTATCGTGACATCGTCCATATTTCGACGTGTTGACTGTAGCCATGTTTGGTTTCATGATCACAAATGCGGACTCAATTGGGGCGATACAATCACACGTGGTCGACGATTGCTAAGAGCCTGTTTCTGCATAGGCTCTGCGACGAGGCTGACAATAGTCTGGCTTAGCATCAACGCCGTTGATTTTAGCGCGTCACTGCTGACGGATGGCGACATGCTAAGATGTCTAGCATGCCAAGCGAGGGGATCTCGGATGTCCTTATTGGTCATAGCTCTACATGTCGACTCATGAACGTATTTCGCCAAAAAGCACGAACTCATTGAGGTTGTCTAGAAAGGGAAAAGGGTTGAAGCAGGGCTGTCAGTGCGCACGACACTGTCGACGCTCAGGGGCTCGGTGCGCCGAGGCGGGACAGTCAACTTCCGCCTCTGTGACGACTTCGACGCGTTGTTCCCAACAGTCCGGAATGCAATGCGAGCGGCTCGGAATTCCACACGGCAAGACAGATGGACAGAGGTGCAATTTCGAGGTATATATGGATGTGCGTCTTGTCACATCGGCCTCCTTAATAGTAGACGGAGTAGTCCGGCTGCTCGGCGACCCTTTGAGATCCCGCGGAGCCCGAGATACCCAGGACGGCCTTCAACGATTTCTGAAGACTCCAAATTACCGATAACCTTCAGTGGTCGCTCCGAAATTCTGCCCGCGACCCCGCGATATCATCTCGAACTTGTCGCGACCTCGGTCCTCTATCAGAACAGTGCTTGACCCCCTTGCAGTAATTCAGGAGAGGCAGGCGATCCCGAGGAGCACAGGACAAGCCCCACAACCCAAAGACCGGTGCATGCATGTCATCCCATGTTTTGGTCGATTCTCCGTGCTGATAATGTAAACGATCTGTGATTGGCTTGCTACAATCTGATTCTGGATTTCAAATGCATTCGAACTCCCCAGGCGGAAAATCGAAAGGAGAAAAGGAAATCACAACGCCCAAAGTAAGCTAGCAACATTCCGACTCAACCGAACAGCTTAGTGATTCTGCGATTGTTCCACTCCCAAGCAGTGACATCTTCGTATCGACAAGGTGTCGCATCAGTTATGAACTCCTTCAACGGTAGCAGCGACGCGTGACGGTTAGGCTTGACAAAGTACGCGATTGAGTATCGCTCCGGAATCTGAACGTTATCTCCGGCCTTGATGGCAGGCGGGTAAGTGACTCTGTGACAAGCCGCGCGGAAGGTGTCGTTGGTAAGACGCTGAAGCGAGTCGCCAATGTTGAGGATGATGTCGGTAGGCTTCTCTGACTCGACACTGCGGAAGACGCCGGGCTGGGTCTGGTCCTCGACCTGAAGACCGCCCACAGAGTCTTGGAAGAGCATGGTGATGGTGCCGAAGTCGGTGTGCTCGGCGATGCGGGTGGCGGTGCCGTCCGCAAGTTCTGTGGCCGGGATGGCCGGATAGTGGAGCAGACGGAACTCGTTCTCGGCGCGGTTGTGGAGCGTCTTCATGTGGTCCTCGGAAACGCCGAGAGCGATGGCCAGAGCGGAGAGGAGCTGCATTTCCGTCTTGAAGGCCTTCTCGTAGAAGGACTCCATGAAGCCGCGGAAACCTGGGAGGCTCTCTTCCGGGATCCAAAGGTTGTCGACGAGGTCATCTTGGGCACTGCCCATGTCAAGGGTTTCCTAGTGCGTGTCAGTCATCGTGGGTGTGCAAAGAGAGATACTCGTAGACCGACCTTGATATCGCGAGTCTTTCCGGGGCCAAGACCCTTCTCATAGCTGCTAATGTTGGCGACATTCTCCTGGCCGATGAAGCTGTAGCCACGGTTGGGGTTGGCTTGAGGAGGATGCTTGGCCTCCATCTTGGTCTCGAGAGGCAGAGCAAAGAATTTGCGGCTCTAGGAGTATTCCCAAGTCAGTCCCATAGAATTCCACGAAGATGGTATAAACCTACCATATCGAAGAGCTTGTGAATATCTTCATCCGGAATGCTGTGGTTCTGAATTTTGACGCCACCTCTCAACTTCAGTAGGCGGAGCAGCTCGGTGCAAAAGTATCTCTTCTCTTCAGGAGTTCCGAAGAACAAGGACATATCGAGAGTGGCACCCTTGTCTGACATATTTGCTGTTGTTGATAGAAGAGTAGATATGCGTTGGAGATCGGGGTGTTTAAGCTGCAGAATTGGTACCTAGAGAAAGAAAGGTTGATACTGAATGGTGATGGCTTGAGGTTTTGTCTGATTGATCTGAGTTCTTGACAGTCTTTATGGACGGATGTCAGACGTCTTAAATATCACATCCAGCTTACTGCCAACGGCCTCTTCCGCCCAATATCCTCTTCGTCTGGTCCTACCTTGACGTTTCAGACAAGTCATGGTGTCTGATAGAAACAGTTCAAAAAAGGCAAGCATACAATAGATACATTACGGAATTGGAAACTGGTCACTGCAACCATACCGTAGAGTTTCACTTCGTCGTCTGAATGAGCATCGCCTTGCCTAGGTGGACCCCAGAAGAGAAAGAGAAGCCGATTCAGCGGTGTAAGTATGCGCTTCCCAAATAGGTAGGCAAGTATGTGGGGCAGGCAGCTGTCGCCGAAGCAGGCATGAGAACCCGACCCCGCGTTTCCATGGGTCCCGGCTACGAATGGCGAGTGATAAGCGTGATGTTGTTAATAAATAATCCGCTTTCTTTTGATTACCTCTTTAAATAATTTGAGACTACTCTAGAATTAATGGCATTCGTGCAACTCAGATGCTTTGGAGATAGACATGGCTCATATCCAACGCACACTGCGAAGACGTAATGAGAGTACCACCTGATAATTGACTCGTTGTTGCAACAAGGTATTCAAAATCCTATTTCTGGGAATTTTACAGAGATATCTGGCGAATATTTATATGTTCAGACCAAATGTCGATTGCGTCGACTTGGCCGTAAAGGCAGACATCTTATGACGGGAGCGGCTCATCACGACCGTGTTCAACTCTGATTGCAGGCAACCCCAAGTCCGGAGCAATATTCCCTCGCGGGATGTTTTCACTGGTTCTTAACGCGAACTAAGTGTTCGGAAATATCAGGCTCAGTCCGCTTGAAATAAAAAGGATATTCCCCAGAAAGGGAGGTGGCGGTCGATGGTCCTACCGTCATAATGACATGAGGAGGATGGCGCTGTTTATGGTCACGGGTCGCTGTTGGTAGGTCTGCTATTCGCCCGGTGTAGATGAACACGCTAGCAGTTCCAGCAATAGGGGGACAATTGACCCCCGGTGCTTCTAAGACATAGACGTCAACTCGACTATTATCCTTCATTATCACTGGACTGCGCCGCATGACAGCGTCAAATCCAAAATCTAGGCAACCACATCTAGCACACAAGCTTTAAAGTGGATATGAGTCCCCAAAAGCCTATGTTATGAAGATACTCCCAATTTACCGACAACTCTCACGCCATCATGCCAACGTCAATGATTTCGCAAGTTGCTCTCGTCAACATTGGGCCCTTGACGACAACATGGACCGCGCCCTCAGCGTGCGCGACGATAACACATCCTCCATATTTGGCTCAATCTTACGCGGCCGCGGCTGGCATACCCTTTTGGGCAGAGGATTGTGCCTCCCTGACGGATGACCCTTTCAACGAATGCGTACCATCGGCTACGAAGATGAACGAGGAGTGGGCCTCGCGAAAGGATAACCCTATGATAGACGACGTGGTCTATTACCACTCACCCGGCAATATCTGTCCTTCAAATTGGACAACTGTGGGCGTTGCTGCCAGAGGCGATGGGACATCTTACAGCCTAAGCGGCATATATGCCGATCCGACATTCACTCTCATCCAGTCTGATAGCACGACAACACACATCGTAACTCAGTCAGGAGCGAGACCTGGTATACAGCCAGCAGCCAACATGTTCATGTCCGCGATCGAGCCTCACGAAACCGCTGTAGTCTGCTGCCCAAGGTACGTTGCACCCGTTGCCGATAGATACGTAGGATGACAATGGTGGACAAGCATTGTGTACTAACGCAAGATCCTCAGCGGATTCACGGCAAAGGCTCTCGGGTTGGGGTGCTTCTCTTACATCCCACGAGAACTGTACACTGCAACCACCGGCTGTCATTGGATTCTCGACAACGACGTATACACCCTCATTGACAACACATACACATATCACGGCCGCACGGTCAGTGGCCAATTCCCATCTGCGACTGCGTCTACCATGACCCGGCACATCGAAGTTGAAACTATCGAGCCTGATGAAAGCTCGAGTTTCATTGGTATCGCTGTGACAGCAGGGGTGACGTTGGTGAACAGGGCACAGAATACGGGATCCGGAAATGGGGGGGATGCAGGCACAGCCACAGGCCAAGCTGGTTCTACAGGAACACCAAATGCCGCAACATTGACAAAAGCGAGAGGCTTAGGTTTTTCCCTAATCTGGCTACTGCTGTTGCTGTCTTAACTCAAGCTTACCTTAGTGTGGGGCTATAAGTAGCTAAGACATATAACTAATTAGCTGAAGACTAGGAATAATAGCTTAGTCAATAAGGCTATAATAATATAGGTAGGCATCTAAACTTAAGTAGTGACTCTTATAGTATAGAACAGGGGATAATAACAGAGTGCTGCTCGCAGAGGGGTCTAAAATCTACCTACAGGGGTGTAGTAGTGCTAGAAGAATAGATCCTCTGCGTTATACATACTTTATGTTTCCCTATATAGTAATTTTTTTCTATACTTATATAGCTACTTAAATATAGGGCCTCGCTTATATAAGCTATATATTACTTTAGAAATAGGTAAAGTTTTAATCCTTATTTTTACTATATATAGCTTATATTTAGTATATACTTTATATCTCTTCTACTTAAGCTTACTTTTTTCTTTTCTTCTCTTAAGTATATTATAATAATTACTATTAATATAAAAGTATAAAAAGCGCTCTTTTTAGTATTAATTTAATATATACTAATAATATCTTAGATATTTATTTAGGAATTTATTAATATAAATATTAATAATATAGTTAATTTATACCCTTAGTTTAGCTATTTCTATAGTATACTTAGTATATATAAAGCTTATATTAAAACTATTATAAAACTAATATATTTTAAGTCTTATTACTAATAATAATCCTAACTTCTAGCTTAGTAGTAAGTTTTAGTATACTTTATATATATATATAAATTTAGGCTAATATATCTTAAGCTAACCTTATTAATATTACTTTAGCTATAAATACTAATATATCTTAACTTACTTATTATAAGTTTAATATATACTAAATATATTTAATAGTAGCTTTTAACCTTATTAAGTACCTTTTTAGCTTAAATAGTTAAGTATAAGTTTAATATCTATCTTATTACTTCTTTATATATATTAATAATATCTTAAGTATATAGTTAATATTAATAATAGCTATATATATAATATAGTTTTCTACTCTTAGTTAGCTATATATTTAAGATATTTTATATATATATTAAGTACTCTTTAACTTAACTTTTATAATAATATTACTATAGTTATTAATAGTATTTTAGTATAAATATATCTTTTTTTTTCTAGCTTATACTATATATATACTAACTCTATATAATTACTAACCTAACTTATATTAACCTAAGTAGCTTAGAAGTTATTATAAGTATAAAATATATTACTTCTTAGTATATACTTAATATATACTAACTCTATATAATACTTTATACTTCTTTATATGCTTTAGCGCTTAGTATAATACTATCTTTATATAGAAGCTTATATATATGCTCTTTAGCTTCTCTATATATGCTATGCTAATATATTATCTAGCTATAGCTTTAAGGATAGCTTTATTAGCTACTTTGCTAACTAAATAGAAGCCTTTATATAAATTTATCCTTTATATTACTTATATATATATATTACTAATATCTAATATAGCTATATTAATCTAGTTTTCTATAAAACTTATAGATTATACTTCTATTATATAAATTATATATATATATAACTAGAGGATACTATATACTTACTATATATTTACTATATATATTATATATACTAACTATACTCTCTTAATTTATAGTAACTATTCTATACTATAAGTAAAGAGGGAGTAAGTTCTATTTTAATAAGCTTCTTACTTATTCTTTAAAATTATTTTTAAACTTTTATACTAACTCTAATTTAAAAGTAGTTTAAGTTATAAAGGGGGTATATACTAAGTATAAATTATATTTATCCTTACTTAATATAATATATAACTTAATAGACTATAATTATAAGATAATAATAGAGGAATTAAGAATAAGCTCTATATATATAGAGAATATACTAATAATCTTATAGTATACTACTTACTTTAGTGTTTTAATTAGAACTCTTTTTAGTAGTAAGTATAAAGTATAACCTTATTTTATACTATACTTTACTTCTATATATATTAATATTATATATAAATTAGTACTATTTATATATATAAGCTTATACCTCTATTTTCTTCTTAATAGATCCTTAATAAGAGTATACTCTATATATATTATACCTATCTATAATAGAAGCTAACTTTAGTCTAAAAACTTATATTACTAGCAAAAAAGCTATTAAAAATATATTTTATACTTTACTTATCTTATATATATACTAATTATATACTAAGTAAGAGTAATAACTTAGTTATTATTACTATTTCTTTATATCCTTATTATAGTATATATTTTACTTTATCTTAATATATATACTATATATACTAACTATATCTTAAAACTAACCTACTAAAGAGTAGGGAGAGTAATAAGTATAGCTTATTAAAGAAGATAATAATAATAAAGAGGATTAAGCTTAAGTATATATAGAGGATATATATAAATAATATATATAATAGTTCTAAAAACTATAGATTTTTTATTAGCTTTAGCTTTTAATATACTATATATATATATAATATATATATATATAAAGCAGTAGAATACTTCTCTTTTTAGTTAAAATATTATAATTAGTATATACTTTATATATATATAACTTATTATAATACTTAATTAATATAAGTTTTTTCTTATTATTTCTTTATAACTCTATATATATATAAACTATCCTATAAATCCTCTTTATTACTTAGTTCCTATTTAAGTTAAGTAATCTCTTCCTAAAGTTTATATTTATATTTCTAAGCTTAAAGTTTATAAGCCCTTTACTTAAATTAAAGAAGCTCTTAGTCTATTTATTCTGTATTTAAATCTTATATATCTCTAACTTAATATTAATATAAATAGAGAGTAAGTAGTAATAATAGAAAAGGTATACTATACTTAAGTAGAGTATATACTAATTATATACTCTACTTAAGTGATTCTTAAACTAAGATTATATTCTATATATTTAACTTAGATACTAAACTTAGTATTAGTAAGTCTAAAAGGTTAAATAGGTTATAAGGGATATATAGGTGTTTTTTATAGTACTATATATATTATTACTAATATTAATATATTTACTAAAAGCTTTTTATAATATATACTAACCTTAAGTTATCCCTCTATATATATAGGCTTTAACTTAGGTATAGCTATTATTAGGAAATAGCTTAGAATATAGTATATTTAGTCTTAAGCTTACTTTAATATATATAGTGTATTAGTGAAGGATATATTTACCTTAATATAGTTTAAAATAGAAGCTAACTTTAATTAGTAATAAAGTTATCTTAAGTATAGTTTAACTCTATAAAGTTAGTATACTTCTATATAAAGGTTTACTATTAAGCTAGTATTTTATTAAAGGATTAGATAAGAGTAACTATAATCTATCCCTTCTTCTTCTTAGTAAACTAAGACTTAACGTTAGGCTAAGTTTTATATATATCTTATATATACTGAAGATATTCTTATTTATCTTTTACTTCTTAAAGCTTAAATAGTTTTAAAGTAGTAAGGTAGTTTAGATACCTCTTTTGCTAATTTTAGAGAATATATACTTTATAGAATATAAATAAATACTATAAATACTCTTTAGTAGTTTATAATAAGTTTTATTTATATAAGTAATTACTAAAGCTTAATATTAATATAATATTAGTATATATAATATATCTATAAAGTATATATTTACTATAAGCTTACTTTATATCTATATTAGTTATAATAATATATACTATATTATAAGTTATAAGGTATATATATACCTATTAAACTAGAAAGCTAGAAACTGCCTTAATTTAAGTAAAGGTATACTTAAAGAGAATAGTATAACCTTTTTATAAATCTATATTTATCTAAATATAAGTATATAACTTAAGTTTTATAAAATATAAAGTTAGTAGGTATATTATATATATAGTATATATATAGTATATATATTATAACCTTTCTTACTACTTATAAACCTTAAATAGGTTTATATCTCCTTATATTATCTTAAATAATATATTAACTTTAAGATATTATACTTTCTGAAATATATATATATATACTTATACTATATAGATAATATAGAAATCCCTACTTAGAAGCTATTAAACTTTATAAATCTATTACTTTTATATAAACTTTATTTTATTAAAAGCAAACTTATATAAAACCTCTATATATAGTTAGCTTATATATAGTATAAATAAGGGATAAACTAACCTATATATAAATTTCTAGCTAGAAATTATAGAAGATAAGTTCTCTATAAGAGGATAGCTATTTTATCCTTATTATTAAATATTATATTTATTACTTAAAGTAAGTTAACCTTAAATTAGTTATAAATCTAATATATACCTAAATAGAGAAAAAGCTTACTTATAAATAAAGTTAGCTTATATTAGGTATATACTAAAGATATAAGAGGTATATATATAGAAAGAGTAGTAATATTAAGCTTATTTAAGAAGCTAAGAACTACTTTATTTATAAAGTATAAAAGTAGCTATAAAAGAGGGGGTAGAATATATATATATAAGCTATATATAAAGAAAAAGATAAATAGAAACTTAGTAAAGTTAAGAGGTATATAGAAGTTAAGCTTAACTCTATATAGTAATATATTTATCCTATTATTACTTTAAAAGTAAGAGAAGCTTAATATATAGTAAATATATATAAATAATACTTTATATCTATTACTTACTATAGCTTTAATAGCTTACTTCTATATTTTTAATATATATATAATCTATCTTAACTTTATACTAACTACTTATTTTAATTATATTATAAAAATACTTAATATTAACTCTATTTTATTTAATAAATATACTATAAGTAAAATACTATAGCTTTAAAAAGCTTAGCTTTAAGTAACTAATATAAAAAACCTATAATATATATATACTTAGCTTATATTAGAAAAGTATAGAGATAATACTTATACTATATTATTTAAATATCTAAAATATCTAATATTAGTAAATCCTTCTAGGTTTCTAAAATAAAAACTATAGCTTCTAAATATAAAGGCTATTAGGATACCTCTACTATTTATACTAAAAAGCTATATAGAAGCTAGCTATATTATAAATATATATATAGTATATATAGAGGCTAAATACTAACTTTTATATATATTTAATTAACTTATCTATAATTAATTTAGGGGCTTTATAGGTACTTTTTATAGTATATAGTTCTTATAACGCTTTAATAAAGTCCCTTTTATCCTATATTATACTTAAAGTTATAACTAAAAAGTATATAAACTTATAATATTTAATACTATTATATTAATAAAACTAATATTAAACCTAATTTATATCTTTTTTAGATTTAAAATAGTATTAATATATACTTAATATATATAGAAGCTAAACCTACTTTAAAATTAAGTATAAACTCTTTATAATCTTAGAGTTTTTATAGTTTAAATATTAAATAGTTTAAGTAATATCTAGAATAAGTTTCTATATATAGGAATATAAAAAATTTCTATCTTAAACTTTATAAAAAATATAATAAAAAACTTTATTAAGATAAGTTTTAAGATATATTAAGGTAGTAAGATAGTTATATATAATATATATAGTAACTTAGTAACTTCTATTTTAAGTAATAAGAATACTTTAAGCTTTAACTATATTTTATATATATACTTAGTATATATAGAGTATATAGGTAGTATAAATTAAGAAGAAGTTTACTTTAGTTAAGCTTATTTTATAGAATATACCTCTTTTATTTTATATATTATTTTTAGATAAATTATTATATTAATAAGTTTAAGTATTAAGTTAATAAGTAATATAATAAGTTAAGCTTATAATAAGATTATTCTCTTTAAGTTATTTCTATTTTTCTTCTTATTACTTAGTATTATTTAAAATAGAAAAAATATTAAAGTTAAAAAATAGATTATTATCTATAAATATAGCTAAGAAGCTAATAAGGTTAATTAGAGTTAAGAAAGAGTCTATTATATATAAATTCTTTAAAAAAATAGAGTTAAAATATTAGTAATATTTAGTTTAAGAATAATATACTTTAGGAATAAGTTCTATATATATATAGTATATCTCTATTATATAAAAGAGAAAAAGTAATAAGTATTTTCTTATAAACTATTAATTATAGTATATATATAGTATATACTAAGGATAATATAACTTTATTATTAATATTTATTATAATTATATTCTACTATAATATAGCTTTTATTTTATTTAGATATAGGTATAGCTTAGGGATAGTTTAGATATAGTAGAGTGGACTATAAGGGGAAAGTTATGCTTATATAGCTTAGAAGATCTATTCTTCTAGTATTACTACAGCCCCCTGCTTGCTTTTTACACCCCCCTGCGAGGTGTATACCTGGATAATGATACTAGGGGTATTATTACTGAAGCTTTTGCTTTGTGCCACACTTATCAGCCTTATCGGCCTTATTAGCCGTGGCGGAGTGGCTGCCGTTGGTCAGCCACAGCCTATCGTAGCTCCCTATCGTGGCTCCTTGCCCTTCTTGTTACGTATTATACAGATACATTTGAGACGTTCTGGCAAGGTTGCTCTCGTTGGGAAGCAGTTGCAAGCCGCAAAGGCGGTCGCTGATGGTTTTTTTTTTTTTTTTTTTCTTTTTTTTTGACAGGTCTGTTTTTACCAGCTGGGCATTCGCACGAAATTGCACCTGGGACTGGAATAGAAACTTTGCACCTTGTACTCAACCCTGAAGCAATCTATTGAGCCGGCTAAAGATTCCGGTTGGCCCAAATTCAGGGTTTCGTCTGTGTTCTCCGGTATCTCTATTGGCCAAGGGCTGACAGACCCGAAGGACCGCCAGCACAGTAAGTATATAAAGGGCCTTCTCCGCTGACCCAGGCTCTCTCTGTCCTCTTTCCATCCTCTCTTGCTTTTTTCGTTTTTGAGGCAGTTCTCCGCAATCTCGCCATAGGTCTACATTTTGTTGAAATTACCGGCCGTTTACCGCTGAAAGAAGGTGGAATATCTACAGACAATGGGCTGTAAGTGACCTAAACATGTTGATTGATTTGACAGACGAGGCAGGGGAATCAATTCCTAACCTGAAGCTATCAACATAGTCCTCACTGCAAGCGAGAGCTTTTCACACAGCACCGTCATCCAAGGCGTCCTCAGCAAAGAACAGGCCCTCAAGGTCCTTCAAGACCACGCGTTCTTACTCTCCCAAGACAGTCTGGCTGTCTCCCATAAAGAGGTCGACCCCCCTAACAACATCAATGATGCCGACAGCCGTGCTGAGCCCGCTGGTCAAGCCAAGTTCTATGAACAGACCTTTACCGTTCCCGGAATCATAGCACGTCTTCTGCCCGGAATGGGTCACACCACAAATCAGTGGCGAATGAAGAATACTCCGGATGGCTTGGTCACGCACATGACAGGTGCACTGAATGTATCCGTCGACAGGGAGTTTGTGTTGACGCCCAAAAGGGATGCGGGCGATATGGAAGATTGGACGCTTTTGGACAGGGGCACAATTCAGTGCTCCAAACTCATGATGGGGCCGATGAAGAAAAGGCTGGATGACCAATGGCAAGGTATCCATCGTGCATACGTGAACAAGATGGGTGCAGAAGTTGGAACGCAGGCCTGAGCCTGGCTGAGGTTGAATTCGTTTGTCATTGATGAAATCTAGGTAGCTTGAAATTGTGTTCCCAACAGTGAGAGCAACAGAAAGGCGTGATGAGACAGCTTGTCCATAATCTCGGCCCTGCAGAGTGTGAAATATAAAGGATACAATACTAATCCAACCAAAAAGAAGCATGGATACGCAATTCGCCGAGGAGGGACAGAAAGTGGAAACTAAAATGACCGAATCCAGAAGATCTAAAACTCAATTGATGAACCCTTTATTAACGCCGATTTTGAACCCAGTCCTTATATGCCGCCTCACTGGCACCCATCATCCACGGGAAACCCGAGCGCTTCAGCACCCCCAGCCAGATCTGCGGGGGCACCATCTTGAACCTGCCCATGTTGGCCTGGATCTCGGGGCGCAGCACGAGCTGATGCAACTGGTCCACCTTCCACACGCGGTACGATCCCACGATGTTTGTGTACGCGACGTGTGGCAGGGCGGGCTCACACGTACCCTCTGCCGTCTCTTCGTCGGGGTCGGCATGGAATGGCAAATCCCTCGCAACGGCATCGCAGATGCGGTCTGCGACCTCGTGGACAGACACGAGATCAAACCATCCCGACCACGCATACCCGCCGTGGTCGAGCATAGTCATGCTCTCGACGCTCGCCGCCGCCATAGCAGCGGCAATGTCCTCGGGCAACTCATCACCAAACCTTGACGTCGGGTCTTCCCCGGCGCACCGCACAGTGCGGTAGATACGTACGGGGACGCCGAGACCAGCCTCGGAAGAATCAGTTTCCCCCGGGCCTCCGGCGGCGGCCCGCTCCAGCATGCGCTCGGCGGCCCATTTTGTCGCGATGTAGCCGTCGGCGCCGAGCGCGGGGGGTATGTGCTCGGCGGCGGTCATCTCGAGCGGCGCGTGCGTGGCCGGGAAGACGCCGCCGCTGGACACGAAGTGGACGGGGATGTGCCGCCGGCCCGCGAGGCGCAGCAGGGCGTGTGTGGGATCCAGGTTCACGGGACGCAGCACGGCGTAGGTCTCCCAGGATAGGCGGGCGGCGCCGGCGTGAATAATGGCTGCTGCAGTGGTGGCAAGACGGGCGAGGGTGTCGGGAGTGAGCCCCAGGTCCGGTTGGGTCAGGTCGCCGGGGTGGATTATGACCCTGTCTGCTGCGTCTACTCCCGCGGTGATGCTGCTGTTTGCAAGGAGCGCCTGGAGCTTTTGAGGATCACGAACAGCAATGCAGTGAATCTTTGTGATGGCGGGATTCGACAGCAAGCGTGTGAGGATGTATGGTCCCAGATGACCGGTTGCACCCGTCAGAATGATCTCCACATGACCTGACTTCGTTTCCGTTTGAACAGTGACCTCTTCGCTGAAGGAGGCATCGACAAGTTCTCCCATACGCGGTGGAGTCGTCTCGGCTTCCCAGTCCAACGCCTGCACAGCCATCAACTCATCCACCTTGGCGGCTATTTCTGAGAGAATAGCACACTGGTACAGATCACGCAAAGAGATGTCGACGCTGAGATCGGCTCGGATATGCGCTTGCACCTCTACAAGCATGAGTGAGTTGCCGCCCAGCATGAAAAAGTCCGAGGACGGGCTCAGAGGCGATGGCAACGTCTCTCGGGGCAGCAAGCGCTCCCACACGGCCCCGATCCTGTTCTCGACATCTGTCAGCTCGCGATGGCCAACGGTAGACCAGTCAGTGGCTGCGTCAGGCAACGGCATGGCCGCGATATATACGCGATCAATCTTTCCGTGCACCGTCATGGGTATGGTCGGCAACGGGATGAGTCTTGCGGGCTTCATGTATTGCGGGATGGGAAGTTTGTCCCGCAAACGCCTCAGAAAATCAACCTTTTCCATGTCTTCCGCTCTCTCTGGACCTTCGTTACCCTGTACGTTTTCGTGGCAGTCGTTGCCAGAGACAGCACTGGTAGCAAGCACAACGTGTGCCACGATAAAACTTGTGGCGGCCGTCTCGCCTCGAAGGGAGCAGACAGCCTCGGATACGGCGCCTTCTGAGAATCGCACGATGTTTGCCTCGACGTCCCGCAGGTCCAACCGTATCCCACGGAGCTTGACTTGCGTGTCGCCTGCGATCCTGCCATCGAACACCAGCTCGCCACGTTGGGTCAGATGGCCCCTGTCGCCAGTGCGGTAGAGTTTAGTCCAGCCATTCCTTACGTACTCTGGACTCGCCCATGGGCTGAGAAGGAAGGCCGCCTTTGTGAGCCTCGAGTCTTCGTCGCTATCGAGACCGACGTAGCCCAAAGCGACGCCATGGCCGCCAATCAGGATCTCTCCTGAGAGCCCGGTAGGGAGGAGATTGAAGTCACCATCGACGATATAGAGCGAGTAGTTGGGAAGCGGGTAGCCGGTGGGAATAGAGTTTGCCGCGTCGCCCTGACCGAAATGATGATCAAGCAGCTCCATCTTGGTCGCGATAATTGTGGCCTCGGCAGGACCATACGAGTTGAATATGCGCACGCGGTCCATCCCGAGGCTGCGCATGTCGTCCTTGATACCCCTCGTCAACCGATCCCCACCGGCGAGTAAGAACTCCCACGTCTCGTTCCGCCGGACGTAGTCGCAGCCGTAACGTAACCAAGACACGTACTCGGGCGGCGTGGCCTTGGTCATGGTAACACCTCCGTCCACGGCAGCTTTCATCAGGGCCCGCGAGTCGCCGCGTATCGAGGCATCGGCGATGAGAGCTGTGCCCCCAACACCCCAAGCCAGAAAAAGCTGCTCCAGGGACATGTCAAAGCTTAGCGCGGATTGCTGAAGGACAATCTGAGGTGAGTGGTCAGGATCAACACCAAACTCCCGTGTCATGCCCTGAGTGACGTTCATCAGGGCGCCGTGTTGCAGAAGGGTTCCCTTTGGCGATCCGGTTGTTCCGCTTGTGAAAAGAATCACGGCTTGCTGTTCGGGATCGGCTAGATTCTCTGGTGTAGATACCATAGTCGTGTGGGGGGACTCGCCATCTAGGTCACTCATGTTGACGATGGTGGCATTGTTGTTCTTCAGCTGCAACTCATCCAGATACTGGAGGGAAGAGGAGTCGATGATGATTGTCGATGGAGAGCATCCTTGGATGATCTGCTGCAATCTCATGGGCCCCTGAGTGCAGTCCAGCGGGACATATGTCGCACCGCTTCGTAAGACGGCCAGCAGAGCACAAGCCCAGTTCACCGATGGGGACAGAAGAACAGCCACCTTCGTCAATGGCTGAACCCCCCGAGCTTCGAGAGCACCCTGAATTGCCATGACACGTTGCGACATGGCCATGTATGAGAGACTCGTACCGAGGGTATCCTTGATCGCCGCCCTGTCTGGGTATTTGTTCACCATTTTGTCAAGGAGGTGCGGGATCGTCCTGGTGTCAAGATCCTGGCTTGAGCTCAGAGTCACCAACTTCCCTGTCCCAAGCTCCAGGGCAGCATCGATATCTCCCCGTGGCCAAAACTCCGCCGCCGCCACCCTCATGTCCTCGTTCCCGGGGCGAACCAAGGACTCGAGAAGCGTCATATAACACCTGAGCACCAATCCCACCGCCTCTGCGCTGTAGAGTGCGGATTGAAGGCCGACAGATACCGTCACGTCGCCATCGTAGCCCTCGAGGATATTAAGCTCGATATCATACGGTCCCTTGGCAAAGGCAGTATTCTCCCCCGGTGGTACCTCGCCACGGATCCCGGCGAACTCGATCCGCCTCGCGGGGCGATACTCGATCAAGGCCTGCACGAGCGGGTGCCACGCCGTCGACCGCGGCGCGCCCACGTCGTCCAGCAGCACGTTGAACGGCACACCCGCGTGCGCGGCCGCGGCGTAGACGGCTGCGCGGACGTCGAGCAGCACAGCGGCAAAGGACTGGTCCCGCGCGTCGCCGCCCCCTGCGCCGAAACGCAGCGGCAGGAGGTCGAGGAGTAACCCGATGACGTTTGCGTCCGCCGGGTCCGAGCGACCTGCGTCGGCCATGCCGATACACAGGTCGGCCTCGCCGGTCAGGCGGAACAGGAGCGTTCGGAAGACGGCGAGGTGGACGTGGAAGGGCGTGGCTTTACCTGCCCGGGCTGCCTGGCGTACATGCTGCGCGACATGGCCCGCGAGGGTCACGCTGGCCCTGTGGACTTGGTATGTCTTGAGTGTCGAGCGCGCCGCGACCTTTGCCATCGGGAATAGTGGCAGCACGGGCGGGAGGGCGGCAAACGCGCCACGCCAGTGTTTCCTCGCCGAAGCCAGGGCCAGGCCGCCCGTCACGTTGCTGCGCTGGCGCACCGCCCAGTCGGCGTACTGGCGGGTCACGGGCGGGATGTAACCTCGGCGGTAGTAGCTCTGTAGTTCGGCAAAGAGAATCTCCCAGCTGAAGCCGTCCATGACGATATGGTGATAGCCGAGGAGGAAATACCACGACGTTGGAGACTCCTCGCAGAGGACGAGGCGAAGGGTATCGCCCTGCTCAAGTGCATAGTTGTGGCTTTTCAAGGCGGTAAAGTACGCGTGGGCCTCTGCGTGGGAGGATACATGGTAGTGTTCCATCTGGATGGTGGGCTTAGCCATGATGCCTTGGACCGGGGTGTCATCCTTGACGAAGAAGCAGGTCCGCAGGGCTTCATGGCGCTGACAAGAGCGCGCGAGCGCCTCGCGTAGCCCAGAAGCACTAAAGGGGCTGGTGATGCGGAAGTAGAATGTGACGTTCGTTGTCGAAGGATCGTCAAGATATTGTCTCAGAAACCAAAAGCGGGACTGGCCATAGGAAACCGGTTCTGTCCTCTCGATTTCGGGCTTGAAGTTGGTTGGAATTCTTGTTAATGTTATCGTAGAGTCAGCAGTCAATCACAAATGCACATGTCGTTGGAGTAACGTGAAGTTTTCCGTCGTCTTTGTGGCAAATATCATTGATTGTAAAAGATCAAATATAAAGAGCACTGAGATACACAGAGTTCCAGGTGATAGTAAAATCAGGTCTTGAGAAGAGGCACTGATAGGTAATAACTTACATGGCGAGTTCCGCCCCGACCTTTGCATCCATCATTGTTGTCTCTGTAGTTACAACCTCATCACGGCCGAATCCCTTCTCATCTGCCGCCTCTGTGTCGGCAGGGGTCGCGGTTGTCGTGAAAGACGTGGCAGATGGACTGAAAGGTTCAGATGGCGGAATTGTCGAGTCGGAACCTGTGGTGAACCTTCGTTTGGTCTCGAGGTCAAGATTGTCCTTATCCTCTTCAGAATCGTCGGCTCTGACTTGGTCGGTCTTCTTCTCTTTCATGACATCTTGACCGACGTCTTCTCCTACGGGTGACGCCTCGTTCTGCGGGATAGATTCGTCTCCCGAAGCCAACACGGAAACATGGGCTTCCGTACGCTGGACCTTGGGCAACAGATCCGGAGAAATCTTGTCCACGGCGTCATCAACCAGCTCCACGATGGTCGCGCCACCCAGGATCTTAAGCATCGGCATATCCATCGCGAGCTCCTGACGGAACCACGTGCGGACCTCGACTGCGACCAGCGAGTCCATGCCGAGGTCGATCAGGGCCTGCGAGTCCGGCATCGTCTGCTCGGCAGGATGCTGCAGCGTCGCGTTGAGCTTGGCCGTGAAAGCCGTCCGGATCACCTTGAAGGCCTGCTGCATCGTCGTCACCTCTGCCAGCAGCGCCCGCACCGAGACCCTGTTTGCGCCGCCGCCGCCGTCCGCCGCCGTGCCCAAGCCCACCTCCTTTACAAAGTGAGAAAACTTGAGGTTGTTGGCCCAAAAGGTCAGGTTGACCTTGTCGCTGCGCACCGTCTGGATCCCCGACGTCAGGTTGCCGTGGCGGCCCGACCCCGGCCGCCCGGCCATGATGCCCTCGGCAAAGAGCTGGTGGAGGTCGCTCTCGCTCATGGGCATTGCGCCGTTCTCGATGCGCTCAACCATCTTGGCGGTCATGACGCCTGCTTTCTGCTCTCGCTCGACGTAGCCAACTCCACGGACGGTGGAGATGTCAATGGTAGAGCCCGGGAGGCCGCGGGCGCGGCGCTGGTTGATGAGAGCCTTGACAAAGTTGTTGCCGGCGCTGTAGGCGCCCTGTCCGTAGTTGCCGACCACGGCAACGATGGAGGTGAAGCCTACAAACCAGTCGAGCGAGTCACGTTCCGTAAAGAGAGCGTCAAGGTTGGAAGTGCCGACCGTCTTGGGGCGCAGGACTTCGTTGAAGACATCAAAGTCGGTGTTGATGAAAAGCCTGTCGCGGAGGACGAGGGCGCCATTCGCAACCCCGCGGATTGGGGGCAGCGTGCTCTCGATTTCAGTACGGGCACGCTGTAGGGAATCCATGTCGGTCACATCGTTCACCATCAGCTTGATGGTCACGCCTCTCTCCGCGTGGGCTTCTATCCAGCCCTCCGGAATCATCTTGTTGACGCTGCGGCTGCTGATGACGATATTTGCGGCGCCATGTGCGGCCATCCAGTCCACAAGAGATTGACCGAGATCTCCTGACAGTCCGACGAGCCAATATGTCTTGTTACTCTGGAAGAGGTTTGCTGGAGTATCCACAGGTTCAACTGTGGCCAAAATGGCATTGCGGCGAGAACGCCAGTCTGCGAGAGTGAATGGCGAGATATTGGAAACGTTGATTCCGGGGGCATCTGCGGCAGGGACCGTGAGCGGGGCTGAGATCTGATGCAGACTGTACCGTCGTACAGTCGCAAGCAGAGCCGTCAAATGATTTGAGATAAATTCGTCCGCTTGTTGAAGCAATTCCTTCAGCTCAACAATATTCTCAGGGTCCATGTTCGCGAGGTCTGCGGCTTCGTATTCAAAGATGGTACCGGCGGCTTGTAGCCTGTGGGCTCGAGGGAACAGATCCAAGAGCTTAGATGCTGCAAGAGATTCGTTCGCCGAGGAATGAGAAGAGAAATCCAAGACGGCGTCGACATCTTGGGGAAGGACTGCTCGTAATGCCTTCCTGGAGACACGGGGATGAACAAGTACCCAGTCTGTTTGGCCGACAGACACCTTGGAAGAGTGAGACGAAGTGAACAAGACTCTCTGTTTGGCATGAGAAAGCTCTTTTTGTTGCTCAACCATGGCTGCGAGGGCAGGAGGAGGCTCGTGGATGATCAGTGTTCCGGAGGACCTTGATATGCTCCTTGACGACGCTGACACGGCGTACTGGCTCATAATATAAGCCACAACCAAACTAAGGTACTCCTGATCTGTCATAGAGTCACTTGTCTTGATGGGTTGGACAACTGCTTGTGCTGGAACTGAGACAGTCGACGCGTTTTGACTCAAGACTGCCAATACTTTCTTTTCATCTGCGTCGTCTCCGCTCCTGGCGTCGTCGATACTTATGGAAATGAATAGAGGCCCGGCAGGTGTCTTGATAGAGCAAAGAGTCGAAAGCTGTACGCAATATAGAGTACCGTTATAATCAGCGGGAAGACCTTCCTGCTCTCTGATGATGTAGTGGCTCGAGTTCTGTTGCCATGTCATCGCGACTGTTTTCCGCGCCAGGTCGACCTCCTTCTTAATGGACCGCTTTGCAGAATTGTACCGATCATTGGCCTCCTGATCCGGTTTCTGCCTCAGAACCTTCAGCACGCCGCCTTCATCCAGCATCAACTCCGGCTCAATGGAATACATGACGGCGTCCATGTCGAACCGGGTGTCGTTCTTCCATTGCTGGTCCAATTGCATCTGCAGCATCAGATGGGCCAGAAACCGGGCCTTTAGGTCCCTGAGGTCGACCACCTCGAGCAGTTGGGACCGCAGGTGTTCCAGCTCGTACCAGATGGACTGCAGCAGGCCCAGCATGGTGCCAGAGTCGGGTTCCTCGCACCGCGCGCCGTGGGTGAGCCACAGCATACAGCTGGCAGATCCCAGCAGGCGCTGGAGGCACTTCCATCGCTGCTCGGTGAGGCCCTTGAAGATGGGACTGTCGAGATCGGCGACGCTGAGCACCGCCGTCAGAGGTGGGAGGTTTACCTCCTCCAGCTCCTCGAGGGTAGAGACCACCACTAGGACCTGGCACCGTGGCCGCAGGATCTCCTCCAGCTCCTCGACCATGTCGGACGTCGCGAGGGTGTCCCCGCCGACAATGACTAGATGTGGGAAGTTTACGTCGTCCGGGGCAGACGCAAGCGGCCGCCGAAACAGGTTGATCCTCTCGTCTACGGCCTGCGCGCAAAAGATGGAGGCGGTATGCAGCCGCGGGTTCAGCATCGGCGTGAAGGTGTCGACACCCGAGAAGCCCGTCTTTTTCAACAGCTTATTCCACCGCGTCAGCGTGACGTTGGGCCCGTACACCCGGCCGTCGTCGTGTCCCGCCCACCAGCCCGGAAGCCCGCCCATGATCAGCCCCAGGGGCATCGTATCCATCTGCACAACTTCAAGCACCACCACAAAGCCTCCAGGCTTTAGAAGGCGCCGCAAGTTGGAGAGGGTTCTCTCAAGGGAGCGCGTCGCGTGCAGACAGTGCGAGGCGACGACAACGTCGTACTTGTTCTCGATGAAGCCCTGCTCACCTGGCTGCCGCTCCATATCAAAGACCTTGAAGATCATCTTGTCCTTGTGACGGGCGAACTTTTCCGCAGCCTTTTGAAAGAAGGCCGCCGATACATCTGTGTACGTGTACGTGGCAAACGGCGTGTTGCGGTCCATGATCTCCCACGTTGCGCCGCCTGTGCCGGCACCGACCTCGAGGATGTCAATGTGCGGAAAGCGATTGGTGATTTGCTGGAGCATGAGCGCAACCGCAGAGTTGGCAGCCTCGCCGCCGAGACCATGGGAGTAAAAGTCGGCAAGCATGTTGTCCTTGGTCATGACTTCGAGGATGTTGGCGGTCTCGCCTCGAATCACTGACGGCATATTCTCACCCACGGCGCGCATAATGTTGAAATCCGGGTCATTGCCATAAGATTCGATCAGTGACGTGATCTGGTCTCGAGTATCGTCGATCCAGGCGGGGACGGCAATGGGATCCTTCCTGGCAGCCACCTTTCCAGCGCACATTTCAGCAAAGTCGAGCAGGTGCTGATGATGAGGCTGTAAGGTAACATGAAGTGAGGTATCTTCAGTCGAAGCTCCTAGGAGTTGCTCGACCGTATTGGTCACGATCGTGTCTTGCACTTTAACCTCATTGTCGAATGTGCGCTCTTTAAGCGTCCTCAGATAGTAAAAGGCCACACGTTCCCGATCGATGACCTTCTGGTTATCCCATTCCGTCGGGAGGTGGCTACCGACCTTGTCACCATCAGGCGTGCATAGTTGCCAGGTGACCTTGCTGAACAGACATTTGTCGTCCTTCTCGGTGAAGGGGGAGAAGGGTACAAAGTCCAGGCCGTCAAGCTCGATAGCCTTGTTCGTGCCGTCGACAGCCAGGATATCGATGCTTCCGCTGCGGTCAACACCAGACATTGTGCAGTCAAAGTCAATATGCTCCGGCAGGGCTGCGCCGCAGAGACGGGGAACAACAGTGACACGTCGTATCCCAGATGGTACCTGCAAGGACCACGTCCCGTCTCCAGGAACACCAAAAGATGAGAAGAGCGAGTGTATAGCGGTATCCAGCATGGCGGGATGGAATAGGAGGGGCCTCGTTTTGTTGTACTCTCCCGCAGGCGGGTTGTTGATGGTTCCTGTGGCAAATCCCAGGCGTCGTTGAAGACGTCCAAGGCCCTGGAAAACACCACTATAGTCGTAGCCGAGGGTAGAGAGGGCCTCGTAGAACTGTGTGAGGTTGACGTCGGCCAAGCGCCCTTTTGTTGTCTCTCGGGGAACTAGTGGGAAGCTTTCGGCGGTCATGTCGTGCCCGGCTTCCATAAGAGACTTCATGTTTTCGTCGTCAAGCGTCATGGTAAGTTTAAGTGTTCCTCTGGCATTGCAGACCAGCCGACCTGACTCTTTGTCTGCCGGCGACCGGCAGGAGAATCGCGCCGTGATTGAGCCATCCTGGGCCTCGACAATGTCTGTGACCGAGACGTACATGTCGGTGCCGGCTCGCTCATCCACAGCAATCGCCTTGTAGATGTTCAGGTCGGCCAGCTCAATACACTCGACAGCTTGGGGCTTATCCGCCACGATCTCCATGGCGGCCTCCATGGCCAGAGCAACATATCCAGCCGCAGGGTAGACAGTCTGTCCTTGAAGAGCATGACCGGATAGCCAGGGTGTGACGCTGGTATCCAGCACCGTCTTCCAGCGCAGCTCATCAGTTGACCCATCTGGCAACTTCTTGCCAAGTAGCTCGTGGATAGCCTTGTCATCCCCGTTGTGCCCTGTCCTGAAGATCTTTCCGACGCGAGACTCTGTCCAGAATTGGATACTGTGATCCCAAGGGTACATGGGCAAACCCCTGAGCACCGGAAATGCATGTCTCGCGTGGCGATGGTGCGTGTAGTACTGGAAGAAGACATCTTCCCAGTCCACCGCAGCGCTACCAAGACGCACCCACGATGTGCCCAAACAGTCGGCCACCGCCGACACGTCATCCTTGCCCCGGGCTAGCGTACCGACATACTCGACATTCTTCACCCCGGCTGCCTCGAGAGTCTCAAGCGCAGGCTTCTTGAGCGCCGGATGCGGCCCGACCTCGATGGCAAGGTTGAAGCTTCCGGAAGGGAGGCATGTCTGAACTGCGAAGTCCATCGCCTGTGAGAAGCGGACCATCTGCACCATGTTCTCAGCCCAGTAAGAGCCTCGAAGGCCCTCGCTGAAGTCGTCCAGCGTCATGACCGTCCGCTCTCGCACGCTCGACAACCACAGCGGCGCGTCCGCGTCTGGCTTCTGCACCGTGATGCCGCACATGGCGAGGGACTGCTCAAACGCCTGCGCCGGAGCCTGCATGTGGTGCGAGTGGTATGCCGTGTCCACGGCCAGCAGGCGCGTGAACTTGCCTTCCTCATCCAGGGCGGCCTTGGCGAGCACGATGGCGTCGGCGTCACCGGACAGGGTGACTGAAGATGGCGAGTTGCTCGCCGCCACGCAGAGCTTTCCTTCCACGTCCCCCAGGTCGCAGAGCTCTTGAGCGTCGGCCAGCGTCGTCCCGACCGCCAGCATCGCGCCCTTTGGCGATTGCATGTCAGCATCCCCATTGTCGCTGTTGGTCTCGCTTGTGGAGCCGGCACTCTTTGCGTGGAGGCCACGATAATAAGCAATGCGAATGGCATCCGTGGGTGTCAGAAAGCCGGCGGCATGAGCGGCGGCGATCTCGCCCGATGAATGGCCCACAACAGCGGTGAAGCGAATACCGGCTATGAAGAGAAGGTCGACGAGGACAAGCTGCACGGCGGTGCAAAGCGGCTGGGACATGCACGCTTCGCCTATGCGAGACGACTCCTTGTCCTTGGACAACTCTTCTAGTATGTTCCAGTCCGGTCGGTCAGGCTCTGGAAGGGTTTGGAGAGACACGTCCAACTCCTGTATCAGGCGCCGGGCTCGGTCATGTGTGGAGATGAGATGTGATCCCATGGTAGCCCATTGGGCGCCCTGGCCGGTGAAAACGCCGAGGACGGAAGGTTTTGACAGTGACCGGGCGCCGAAAGTGGCATCCGCTTGTTGCAGTTGGTGCTCCATCTTGCTCACGAGATGCTCTACGGTCGTGCCCGAGAAGGCCGTCTTGACTGGCAAGGCGGACCTCCTGCAACTCAGTGTATGGCGCAGGTGGTCGAGGTTGATGGTGGACTCGTTGGTACGCAGGTGATGGACATATGAGGACACCAACTTGCTTAGACTTTTCTCCGAGGTGGCTGAAAAGACCAGCGGTACAAGAGGGAACTGCTGCTGCGGCAAGCCTTCTTCTTCTACTTGTTCCGGCTCGTATGCCTCCAGAATTGCATGAGCATTGCTGCCGCCGAAGCCAAAGCTGTTCACGGAAGCCCGTCGAGGGACGCCGGGCTCGACCCGCGGCCAGTCCGTTGCCTCCTTGACAATTCGCAAGTGCTTCGTGTGTGGCAGAACAGACGGGCTCAGCTCCTCAAGTAAAAGGTTCGGGGGGATCATGGCATGCTTCAGGGCCATGGCCGCTTTAAGTACACCAGCCAGACCGGCAGTGCCTTCGGTGTGACCAACTACCGTCTTGATGGATCCAACATAAAGCATGTTGTCGTCGACGTGACCATCAGCCATGGTCTCATCTTGGCTGTCCCCAAAGAACGCAGCTGCCAGCGCGGAAGCCTCCTGGGGATCCCCCGCCGGCGTCCCGGTGCCGTGGGCTTCAAAATACTGGCATCGCCCGGCAGGGGTTCTCGGGTCGAGGTCCGCCCGGGCGTAGGTATCGCGAATGAGCGCGGCCTGCGCGGTGCCGCTGGGCATGGTAATACCCCTGGTCCGTCCGTCATGGTTACACCCGACCTCTCTTACGATACAGTCGATCGTGTCCCCGTCACGGATGGCTGCGCTCAACGTCTTGAGGACCACCGCCGCGATGCCGTCACCGCGGGCATAGCCGTCCGCCGCCGAGTCCCACATCCGTGAGCGCCCGGTCGGCGAAAGCATGCCGAGGTTGCTCTCTGAGATGAAGGCCAGTGGGTCAAGGATGAGGTTTGTCCCAGCTGCTACGGCCACATCGCTGGTGCCCGCGCGGAGGACCTGGACAGCCTGCGCAAGAGCGATTAAGCTGGAAGAGCAGGCCGTATCGATGGTCATGGTGGGACCGTGCCAGTCAAAAAAGTACGACAGGCGACTTGACGCATTACTGGGTGCGATGCCAGGCGCGCTGTATTTTGGAATGTGGTCAAAGTCGCGGCTAGACAAGGCCGAGTAGTCGTTGCACATCTGACCCACAAAACAGGCCGTGTTAGACCCATGTAGGCCGTCAATGGTGAGGCCCGACTCCTCGAGGGCTTCGTAGACAACCTCTAGAAGGTGCCTATGTTGCGGGTCGATGGCCTCCGCTTCCGCTGGCGGGAAGGAGAAGAACTGTGCATCAAAGTGTCGCACATTATGGTCCGTGATAAAGTAAGCCTCTTTAACGTTGGTGCTCCCGCCGCGGGTGCCGACCGGATGATAGAAGGCCGCGGCGTTGAAGCGATCTGATGGGATTTCTTCGGCCAGGGGCCGGGGCTCCTTGAGAAGATCCCAGAGCTTAGATGGGCTATCAGATGCCCCTGGGAAACGGCATCCTGCGCCGATGATGGCTATGGGCTCTGGAGGTGGCGACATGGTGGGTTGGTCCGTTCTTGGTGAGGTAATAAGAAAGGCTTTCAGACACGTCGGGCTTCCAGCCGTGATTGGAGAAACCTTGGAATACAGCCGTGAGAGAGACAGTTGATATGGAGAAATAAGATGGTCAGAGATAGTTGATATGGAGAAATAATATGGTCAGGGGCCAAATACAAATGGATAGATAGTGTATATGGATCGAGGCCAGATGGGCATGACAGAGTGGTCTGGCATTTGCCTTAATATACTCAACTGATCAACCAAAATCCATGGACGAATGACTACCATCCGCTCTGATACTCACTGATACCAACCCACTTCAGGAAGAAAAACGGGCTATTTCTGGTCAAATCCTGGTTCCTACATTTGATACACTAAAGGTGTGCTAGATATTCAAACAGTATCTTCGCCGAGTGTGTCCGCATCCTCAGCCTCGTCCAGTACCAGTGATGGGAACACTGTTTTGACCTGGACCACGCTCATGGACGTTGAAGATTCAACATATGAATTTATCCAGGATACTTAAAATGCCTTTTTCATAGTGAGGAGTTGCTTAGGTCGGGGGTGAGATCGGAACAGGGAGTGGATGACAAGATATCTGCAAATGTGATTAGTCGGTCGGCACGGCTAGGCAACAAGGAACCCGAACCAAATCTGACCACCATTAGATGGGGATACCAAACTTGGAAGTTCGGGAGGAAGGGCTTTTGTGGTCTCTGGGAGCAGTACCTGAGATGTTGTAACTTGCTTGTACCTAGAAGTACTCTTGTGTCAGAGGCGCATCTCGTACCTGTCGAATCACATGATACCAGCCCCAGGCTTCCCAGCGCGAGCTCAAGTCCGGAGCATGTTTGAACAAGCCACAAACTCGGCTCGATGGGTGGTTATCGAGCGAGCGGAGACCTGAAGCTCCTGGTGAGAATTACGACAATCAAAAATAACGTGGTCAAGAGGAATGTTTCAGCAGCTATCCAAAATTTACATCCGAATCCTGCAGAAGGCTCGTAGTATGTCTACTTTTGATGGCTGTTCTACTTGTCAATCCAATCGACACACAATCTTCTTCCCCGAGATAGTCTTTGACTTGAGAAGGTCCATCCCCTCCAACACGCTTCTCAGACCACCGTCCAGAATATGTAGCGGGTGCGCCCTCAAAAGGCCCTTATCGAGCAACGACTGAGCAGTGCGGAAGAAACGCGCACCGAATTCCTTGATCGCTGGATCCACCGCCTTGTCGAACGGTGGTTTCCACGCAATCGGCTTTCCAATCATCATGGGCCCCAAGACCCAGTCGGCGGTGACATTGCCGCGGTTGTCGAGCCCGCGAGGCCATGGTTCCAGCGCCGTGTACCGTCCTCCCAGGCGGCCGATCACGCCGTAGCAGAACTCCATGGTCTCTGGCTCAGATATACAGTCCAGCACGTACTTGAGTGAGTTCTTGGTATAGAGTTTGATGTCGGCGGCGCAGGTGGGCGAGCGGTAATCGAATGCCTTTTCTGCGCCGTAGGACGTTACGAGGTCAAAGTTCCTCGGGGAGCACGTCGTAATGGGTTTCAGGCCGGCCCTGTGGATGAGGGAATTCCGCATGGGTTAGACAACATTATTTCAACATTGCATGGGATTCACGCCGGACAGACTTACAACTTCACCAACTGAATGGCCAATGTCCCAACCGCGGAGCTCCCACCGTATATCAATACATACCTTGGCTTCCCTTGGACCTCCTCGAGAGGATAACCATTGATCTGCAACGAGTGGAAAAGGGCCAGGCCCACAGTGCCTAGGCCACTAGCAAGCGACGCTCCCTGCTCCATGGACATGTGTTCCGGGAGCTTGAGGACCCCAGTGTCGCTGGCGCCCGTGTACTGCGCGAACGCGCCGACCAGAGGGCTGGTAGGGTGCATACCGAGAACGACGCCGCAGACGCGGTCGCCCTCATGGATGGCCGGCATGCTCGCCCGCGCCGCGGGCCCCATGGCCACGACGCGGCCTGCAAAGTCCATGCCGGCGATGGCGCCGAGGCTGGCGCCCATCTTGTTGTCGACGTGATTGAGACCCACGGCCGCGTTCTTGACCATGATCATGTCTTCCTCCAGCGCGGGTAGATGGATGCCGGCCTTGAGGCCGTTGGTGCCGTTTTCGAGGCCAACGACGGCAACCTGTGTAGTAGGAAGTGAGCCATTGGCCTCGCCCGTGTACGCAGAGCCCATCTTGGAGTCGTGAATATGTGTGAGCTTCGCTGAACAAAAGGAACACAATGGGTATGACTGTAGGGACTTCTGTCACTGGCAATGGTCTAGGTGACTGCTTCTTGGGAGGACTGTTTATCTTGCGTTCTTGTCTCAGTCTTTCCCTCTGTTGAAGGTCTATATCAGCTTTTGATGCCTACCTCATCTAGCGCTCGTCCGTGGGCCATCATCCGGCATATTGCATATGCATCAAGATCCTGCTTGAACACAGTCCTGTCAGCAAGCAGAACTCGGATGGCAACGCCCCCTGGCACCGTGATTTAGATACACCCCAGGTCACGTCTTGCAGACAGGATTGGCGTTAACACCATCTCATTCTGAGGAACTCTCGCCTGAAACCGCGTGCGGCCATGTTTTCCAACTTCATCAACCCCCTGGCTGCGCATTGTGTTGCACAGTGCGGACCATTTATCGTCTGGGTTCGGTTCATACCGGGCAAAAGCGGAACCAGAAGTCCCTTCCCTTGCATTGTTGGCGTCTATGTCTATTAATGTTGGCCCCCACGAAAAGGAACGCAGCAGTCAGCTCAGCTGTATGCACTTGATTTCATACCCATCTGTGAAGGATTAAATGTCTTGAATCCATGCTGTGTTGTGTCCCATCTTGTCATGGCACATCTGTCACACCTCGGCTGGCTGCAGTATCTGGTTGCCGAGTCACTTATCAGGCCATTGCTGAGGATCAACTTGTCCAAGCAGGTAGTTGCACACATCAGCCCCCACATTCCGGCAATGCTGCCTGTTCTGTCACATCGAGGTATAATGTAGTATGTTGTGACTGACGTACGATTGCCTACTTAGAGTGCGCCGTAACATACTCTGGCATCAACTGCTGCGTGACGGAACGCCCATAAGGGGAAGATCTATTGGGATGGGCTGGCTCCGGCCAGCCCGGCTATCCCATCAAATGCCACATGACGCCAGAAAGTCCTGTCCACAAAAGGCCCAATTTTACCCCAATTATAGAGTCTACGAATTTTCTCGTTGGTCAGAAAAATTCCTTAGCGTTGCTCAGTGTACATTGATTGGCTCTACTCCGCACAAGGGGTCTTTGGCGTCATGTGGCATTTGATGGGATATATGGGGGCGGAGCGGGCGTACTATGCCCCGACCCGGGATCTCGGCTCGCAACTGCAATACATATGTGGGTAAAGCTTGGCATTCTGCTGCACTTGCACGGATGACTGCAGTATCGTCATCTTTGGCGCTTTGTGGCAGTGGATTAATCTGGATAATCTGGATTTGTGGAGTAAATGCCGCATCTTCAGATAACAATCAGCAACCTCGCCTTAGATGCATCTACACGTGACTGTATCCCATATTAGGCTAGTAATGGGTAAGGTCATTATACAGTTTAGGCTAAGGGGCCCCTAGTCAAGTCGTCCCCGCGCACAAGGGGCTGAGCGCCAATCAAATGCTTTGTAGGGGAGGTCAAAACGGGGCGTAAATGACGTGAAATACACGGGCTGGGTAACTACTGTGATTGGTTCTTATTACTGCGTAGGGGCTATCGACTTAGTTGCTGGAATCAATACTAAATTTGCATTCCATTTGCTTCAATCACCGCACGGCAACAACGAATCCAGTTATCAATAACGGGGACGATATGTTTTGACTATGTCTCAGCTGCGATAGTACCCAATCCTTCTCCCAGAAGACCCCTGGGCCCTTTCGAGACCCAGCAAAACAGCCCCAGAACATCCAGCCTTGTTTGCATGTGCGTTGGTGGCGTTCAATACTACAAGTTGAATCCCACTCTTCGCCCTCGCGACGGGTAACATAAGGGTGCCGATGTGAGCCACCTACAACCCAAGTCTCGTCAGAACATAAAACCGAATGCAACTTCTCAACAGTCCAGCGAACATGGGCCTGGGCCCAATGCAAGTATCTACAACTGAACGGGCTTCTCATTCCCTGAGTGACCATGACCTTGTGACTGAAGCTTGGGTGGTGCAGTGACGGGCTCGCCGTCTTTGGCTTCACTTTCATTGCCCATCATCTTCTTGGTCTGGAGCTCCACCTTTCGCCATCCCAAGCCAAAACTGAAAAAGAATGCGATGATACTTGCTGCAGCTGAAAGCCACTAAAAGAAGGTACAAGTATGAGTCAGTCACCGGCTCAAGCTCCTTAATACTCTCAGTAAATATAACACAACTTGGAACTTACAAATGTGGTGACCAAGGCGTCGCTGTACGCCTGAATCAATGCATTATACTCGGAGCCATCCACAATGTTCTCAAGATCTGTTGCGCCGGCGTTGATGATGGCCTGTGGGTCGACGTCGGGAACATGCTCTTGTAGTGCGGGAATCAACCTGTTGAGAAAGGCTGTTTTTGAAACACATAAGAAGACGGAGCTGCCAAAATATTGGAAGAAGATGAGGAGCGCGGTCCCGGTGGCCAGTTCTTCGTTTTGGAGTGTGTTCTGCAAGGCAATAGGAGGGATCTGGATCACAAAGCCCCGCCCAATACCCACCAGGATCTGATAGCCAATCCACTGGCCGGTTGGAGTCGAAGGGTTGAAGGTGGTCATGAGACCTGAACCCAAGCCTGCAAGGACGTTGCCTGTTTGCGCCCAGAGAGGGGCGTAGCCAAGCTTGTTGACTACGTGAGGCGGGAGTCAGGTGTGATGTCGAAATAAGCGGCGAGGGGGAGAGGGGCCAGGAGACCATAAACTCACAGCAGAGGGCACAAAACCCCGTGGCAAGAAGCTGGGTGATCATCGTGGGTAAGATGTTCAGCCCGCTGGTTGTAGGCGTCGCGCCCTTGACACTCTGGAACCACAACGGGAGGTAGTCTCCCAGAGTGGCAAAGGCACCGACCTGCAGGAACGCCACGGCACATCCGCAAAAGACAACCTTCTTGCGGAATACGCTGGGTGGGATTAGCGCCTTTTCCTGGCGATACCACGCCCACACGGAGAAGACGCCAGTCATGGCGAAGCCGCCGCAGATGAGCCCGATAATGGTTGCTGATGACCACGCATATCGCCCGCCGCCCCAGCTGAAAGCCAGCAGGAGCATGATGACCGCAGGTGCGAAGAGGGCGAATCCTATGAGGTCCATTGCCTTGGGCAGGATGGGCAGGACTTCCTTGGCTGGCGCCTTTTTGCGCTGCTCGGGCACGCGGAGGAAGAGGAAGGCGAAGGCGGATACACCTCCGGGAGGCAGGAAGATCCACATGCCTTTGGAAAAGAAGCGTCAGCCATGTTAGCGACGTGCAGGAACCGGGGCGTGTGCAGGGAGAAGTTGCAGTTTGACTTACACCATCTCCAACCAAGATGCTGAGTGAGTGCGCCACCGATGAGCGGCCCGAGTGCGCCACCAACGATCATCAACCCCATGCCCCCGCCGATCAAGGGCGCCCGCCATTTCGGGGGGGACGCTACGGTCAGCATCACCAGGCCTCCCGAAAAGAGGCCCGCAGCTCCGAGGCCTGCCACCGTGCGGCCCCCAATAAAGATGGCGCTGGTCTGGGCTGCGCCGCAAATCACGTTGCCAACCTCGAAGAGGACGATGCTGGCTACGTAGACGTCCTGCAGGAGCATGTCAGCGTTGGACTGAGAGTGATGGGATTCTGTGACCTGCATGCGAAAACAGGGAAATGGATGCGAGGGGCGTAAAAATGAGACGAGGAGGATTGAGGACGAGGAGAGACAGACACGAAGACGGAACAGGTCGTAAAGCTTGGCGACAAGAGGTTGTACGGAACATCTGCAAGCGTCAGTAAATTGGTAAGAAGCACGGCGCATACGCGTCGGTTGAGAGGATGGGAAAGACGTACGTCGCGAAAAGGTAGGCAGTGCTATACCAGTCCAGATCTTCAATCGTGTTGAAAGCAGCCGTGATGGATGGGATTGCCTAGACATGTCAGTAATTGAGTCAATGTTACCTCACTTGGTGCTGATTTGTTGTCTCCACCGGGGAGGAGGCTGGTTTGGTGCATGATAGAAGCATCTATACTGACCGTAGCAATGATTAGAGCGTACATGAGGACCAATGAGCCGGTAAGCGAGGTGGCTAGGAATAGCATCATCAGGGGAAGCGGGCGGAGGTAGCGCTTGTCGTCTGGATCAAGCTGCGCGCTCTCCTGCCCTGTTTGCTCAACTCGATTGTCATGAGCACTGACGTCCTCGTGCGAGTGATCTGACTTTGCGCCTCGAGAGGCCGCCTGAATGTCGTTCGTCTCCATTGCCGATAGGTCCTCGAAAAATATGAGCGAGTCTTGTTGTTTGGATAGGTGTGTCTTGACGCTCAGCGTGACTGGATGCAAAGCCGCACAACGCGGCAACGAGATATATTTGTGAACATTTTCAAGTTCCGGCCACGTTACAGAACGGCTGAATTCTTTAACAAGGATTTTCAAAAGTAGCTTACTTAGAAAACGGGGTTTGGACAAACAGGGGTTCTCTTGTGTCACACCAACTCAACTTGCAGGTAAGCGGCGAGGTAGATTATGATTTGACTTAGCAAACACCGCCAACGGGTACTTCCGCCAGAAGTACCCATGTATTGAGAGGTCATCATTTGTATTCCTTGGGTACACAGTCGAACAGAAAGTGGATGAAAGCAAGCAGGTGTCGTTCTAATGCTGCGTACACGTCATCATCAAATCCAGGAGGATCACCGGTCCATGTTTACTGAGCCTCGCAGACAAACCCCCGGATATTTATTTAAGCATGTTAACATACGCATCCTCGTATGGGTGTGTTGTATGACCGCACTCTATAACTGTGCGTGGGATCGTCAGCCCAACTGGTCAATGCCTGGGGGGAAAAAGCCGAAGCCATGCGGCTGCCAGGCTGCATGTGGTGAGTGCTATAGCGAATGGTATTTTGAGCTGATTGCAGAAGCTTCGTCTTTGTTGGAACAGTAGCCAATGATAGTTCGGCGTCCAGGCAAGCCTCCAGGGGGAAAGGAAGACGTAGCCACATCCATCGTTGCCCAAAGCGTGCCGGTCGTTGGAAGGCAACTAGTATCTGAGGCCAATATCATTACGAACCCTGCCGAAATTACATATGTTGCATGCACTATTGATTTTCCGCATGATCCCAATCCTCTATCACGGATGAAAAGGACGCTTCTGGCACAGGAGTCATCCTCATGGCTCCTCTGTCTCTGCAGTCATCCTGAGATTGATGTTGTTTGCCTCGTGAAGAGTAATCTGACCAGGGTAGTATAATGACCACAGTAGCAGAATCACGCCCTGCCGCACGCCATTACTCCATTTGATAATTTTATCAGCTCAACACACCCTTGTGCATACATGGTGCCCTTCTTGCGAGTTGCTGATGGCACTGTACCGCCAACTCCGCCAAGCCAGTCCGCTACACCTACGCTGCTTATGCGGAGTGCTCTTGAAGGATCGATATTGAAGGTCTAACTGGACATATCAAGGTTTTATAATTAGAAATCCCATTGTGCTCGAACAGGCACAGTCTTCCGAGCTTTTGTTTACTGTAACTGCAAAGCAAGCTGCTTTTATTGTCCCCTGCTTGGTTCAGTGGCTTTGGGTGCAACCAAGCCGTCACATCTAGACACATTGCTCGGCGATGTTGAGTGAGTTGCAAAGGGTCGACTGAAATTCGTTGTGGGATCTTACCATTGCCTGGATAGCTCTTGGGGCGGTATCCCGCGAAACCCATCCTTTGCTTCAGGCTGGGAGTGGCTGCCAAATTTTGAACTGTGATCTTTCAAGTTGTCCCGTGCCGAGAGGCATTTCTGATTACCACCTAATTCCGTGCCTTCAATTCATCAGGCTATCGTATAGATGGAGAATTATATCAGGTTTGCAGAATGCTGATCGTTACCAGAATGCATACAGGAGGACAGCATCTTTGCGATAAGCATTAATTATCTACCCAAAAAAAATGATATTCTATGCAAATTGAAACAATGCAACATGCATATTGCCCACAGGGATGGCTGGCAGCGACCAAACATAATTTGGGTGTAGTTGTGGTCTCAGATATTCGGGGCTTCTGTCACCCTGAAAGATCCATTGTCACCCAGGTGTGCCATGTTGCTCTTTTGGCCCCAGGTCTTTTCCGGATGCACGAACTGGAAATCAAAGTTTCTCATCAACTCAAACACGACCTTGTTGATCATCAGGAACGCAAGCGGCTTGCCGGCGCATTGCCATCGGCCGCCGCCAAACAGAATGCTCAACGCTCTGTTCATCTCGGCGCCCTTCTCTTCTGGGATGTCGAGGAAGCGCTCCGGCCGGAAGGTATCAGGGTCGCTACCGAAAATGGCAGCTTTACGAGCCAGAGCGACTGAGTTGTGTCCGATGGGCGTGCCCGGCGGTATGAAGACTCCATTAAGTTTATCACCAGATGCTGGGGCAGTCTTGAAGTGACCATATGTCTGCTGATTCTTCATACGAAACCCTTCCAGGACCACGGCCTGCTCAAATCGTTTCATGTTAGTAAAAATATCGTTATGGGGAATCGAGAGTCTGACTGACCTGTAAATATGGGAGCTGCTTTGCTTCCTGAAGTGTGATGGGCTGTGAGACTGCTCCGTCGTTGATAGCTTTCTGAATTTCCCCCTTAAGTCGACGGTAAACAGGCGGCGAAGACACTATATACAGCATGACACCGTACATGGCTGTTGTGTCAGAACCAGCGACAATATGTGTCATGGTTTCGGCCTCGCACTCTTCTTTGGACAGGCCGTTGCGCATAAAAAGGCCCTTTCCATTCAATCAGACTTAGCATGAACCCAGCGACTCTGGTTTGGGAGGGGGAAGAGGGAACGGGACCTTACGAGCATGTCGTTTCTCCCCTTGGCGTCCGGCTCATTCCATCGCGCCTCGATGATGTCGTGATTGACGCTTTTGAATTTAATGCACAGATCAGCACCTTCTATCTATTGTGTACGAACAACGTTACTTACCCCATTAATCGACCGGGTCCACTCTTGTCTGTGGGTTTTGGTCCAAAATATTGAAAGGTGATGTCCGAAAATGTCATAGCCCTCAGGACAGGCAGCGACCGAATAAGCCAAAGGACCCGCAAAGCTCGGGCGACGGCGCCGACGTAGCCATATAGATCCTCGCCGTTGTCCAAGTGGCCAAAAGGACGGCCAAAAGCCAAGCTGGACAGCGCGTCGAGTGCAAAGAATCGAGCTAGGGCCTGAAAATCTACCGGGCGTGTCTCTTGCTCCGTCGACAGCATCTTGTGTCGAATGAGAAGGAGGAGACGCTCAACCTCTCGATCAACCGTCTTCTCGAACTCGGGGTTGTCCCGCCCGCTGTAGCCCGCTGCTGTCTTGGCTTTGATGCGACTGTGGGCCTTCTCGTCGAGCAAGCCAAGCATGGAGTCCACCTCGCGGTGAAATCGGGTGCCGTCCTTGTAGGACCGATGCCGCGTGTAACCACTGTTTAGTCCGGCGATACGTCGCAGGGCGTCAGGGTCGTCCGTCAGGACTCTGTTGGGCCCGATACGCACTACAGAGCCGTACTTTGCCAGTCCACGGAGAGCTGGGTAGGCCTCGCCCCGGAAATGCTGGGTGGCCAGCCATAGGTGGGAGAAGGAAGCGAGGAACGGCCCTGGGATATGACGGAGGGGATACCAGACATAGATGGCAGATGTCACATACCAGACGATAATTACGCCAGCCAGCAAAGAAATGACATGGCCAGAGTTCAGGGATTCAGCACGGCCTGGAAGCCAGGAGAAATCCATTTTCATCGAGTAAAATGTCTGTGCTGGGCCGAGACGCATTTGACTACACATAGCTTGATAAGACTGAGACTTATACACGACTTTGTGGCCGCCGGGAATATCTGTATTTAACAGCGTGATTGAATATGATCTGTGCATGTCGAACCCAGGCACCACCCGCAGTCTGCAGTATGCAGTCTGCAGTCTGTCAGACTCCTGAGCCCGACCTACTTTGTGGATATTGAGACGGGGGCCGTGAATGAAGTTTCCCGAGTAATGGACTAGCACAGTGCAGTCGGATAAACACCAAAGATCCATGACATGCATTAGCTCAAAGTATGTCAGGCCATCTCGGGACGCCACTATGCAGGTCAGATGCAGCCGTGCCGTGTCACACGCTAGAACAAGTTAAGCTCATGTTACTGTGAGTAAAAGAAGGCGATAGAAAATGCACTTCAAGCGACTAACCAACCTCTTAAAGCCAAAAGAAAATCAGAGCATGGTGAGATAGGTAGGCCAAATGCTTGGTAGGACTTTCTGCCCTGCTGAGAGTTCCGATCGAGATTGTGAAGAACTGACGGAGCATATCGTTTCTGTGTTTTGTAATCCCATATTCGTTGACCAAACGCGAACACACAGGTTCGCAATGTCTTCATTCACCCATTACATTGGGCTGGCTATCATTGGGGTAAGTCTGTGCTCCCCTCTCAAGGCTCACGTTAGGCCCTACGATGGAAACCGGTACTAACACAAGCAAAACCATGTTCAGGCTTTGCTTTACGGCGTGATTAAGTGCGTCTATAACCTCACGTTGCACCCTCTAGCACGCTTTCCTGGCCCTCTCCTCCATCGCGCAACCCGTCTTTCCTCCTGTGTTCGCCTCATTCAGGGTCGCCTTCCCTATGACGTCCTTGACCTCCACCGCCAGTACGGCCATGTAGTACGCATCGCCCCGGACGAACTGTCTTTCGCCCACGCCGATGCCTGGAAGGAGATATACGGACGTCGGCCCATGGGCACCTCTGCCGCCGGCCCCGAGGAGCTGCCCAAGTACAGCACATTCTACCGCAATGCTGGGCTTCCACATAGCATCGTCAACGAAGACAGGGAGAACCATGCACTCCTGCGGCGCATGCTATCCCCTGGCTTCAGCGAGCGGGCACTGAGGAACCAGGAGCCCGTCATCGGGGGCTACGTCGACCTGCTCATGCGGCAGCTGCACAGGCACAGCAAGGTCCGCGAGACTGATGTACAAGGGGACGACGACCTGGACCTCTCGGGCACGGGGTGCGAGTCCACGCTGGAACTCCAAGGCCAGCAGGTCGGTGCGCCCAAGCCCGTGGATCTCAAAGACTGGTATATCTGGACCACGTTCGACGTCATTGGCGACCTCTGCTTTGGTGAACCCTTCGGCGGCCTCGAGCGCGGGCGCTATGATCCGTGGGTGGCCCAGCTCAACTCGGCGGGACCCATCTCAGCGTGGCTCTGGACCATCAAGTATCTGGGTTGGGACCGCGTGCTGGTCCGCCTGATGCGGTGGCTGGTGTTGAACCGCGTCGAGCTCGCGCGCCGCACGACCGAGCGGCTGCAGCGGCGCATGGCCATGCCGACCGAGAGGCTGGACCTGGTCGCCGGGCTGCTCAAGAAGCGGGAGGGCTCGGCCCTGGAACCCCTACAGATCCGCGTCAACGTGGGCACGCTTGTGCTTGCCGGGTCGGAGACGACATCCACGCTATTGTGCGGTGTGACGTTTCTTGTGTTGAAGCATCGCGAGGTCATGATGAGGCTGAGGGAGGAGGTCCGGTCCTCGTTCGCCCGGGAGGAGGACATCACAATATCGTCCGTAACCAAGCTTACCTACATGTCGGCGTGTCTGGATGAGGCGCTTCGATGCTATCCGCCTGCAGCAGCCGGTATGCCTAGGGAGGTCCCTACTGGTGGCACGACCGTGGCTGGTGAAATTCTTCCTGAAGGTGTAAGTCTGCACTTGTCAACATTCCCGCTGCCATGTCTACCTACATGTTGGGGTCTAACTCGAGTGCGGCGGAAACGCAGACCGCTTGTGCGGTATGGCAGTGGTCTCTGTTCCATAACGAAAAGTATTTCACTCGACCTTTTGATTTCTGTCCCCAGAGGTTTTTAAACCACCCAGAGTTCGCTAGCGACAAACTGGATATGTTTCGTGAGTTGTTCGCCTCCCAGCGCCATGAGACGCCGTGCTGACTTGTTGGACCGGCGAATCGTCTGGGCTCGTCTTGCGGGTTCAGATAATTCCTCGGTCCGACAAAAGAACCATTTTCCTTTGGCCCGAGGAATTGCATTGGGCTCAAGTACGGAATTCTCCTTCCCCCCGCCCCCTTTTAAGTCCACTCGTGGAGGCTTCTGTCAATTCTGAGGAAACTGCCGTACGCTAATACGAAGTCTGGCACAGTCTAGCCCACGCGGAGATGCGCCTGATCCTCTCCAAGCTCATCTTCAACTTCGACATGGAGCTTGTCGACCCGGGGGACGACTGGTTGAATCAGAAGTCCTATTTGTTCTGGCACAAGACGCCGTTGAAGGTTTACTTAACAGCTGTACGTAGAAACGAGTAACTAGCATTTTGAAGTGGAGTCATTGCATCATGATTTCAACTGTATGCTCCCAATCTCCCTGAGCAATGGTGAGACCCCATGTAGCAAGTCTGAGGCGCACATAATATTCCTGAGTCTGTTCTATGGCAATTCTACAGAGGGACAGGAGATTTAAGGCTGTCTAGCTAGGTAAAAATGTGTGGTCGCGTGACTATGTAGTCCATGATCGCGAGGTGCGTAGCAGTAAATGGGAGGTCTCTACCCGCGGCTCCCAGCTGGTCATCAGAAAGTATCTGTAGAGATATGAGAAGGGGATGCCTTTGGCAGGATTCCGCTGCGCAGGGAGCAAATAATTCCCCTGGGAACCCTCCTCGCTCTACCTCTGACTTACCAGGCCTTGTATGACTGCTGTCAGAAGGTGCACCACTTTTGGCGTAGCTGGAGTTTCCATAGTCCCACTACTTCCTATTCTGATAATAGAAAAACAAAATGAATTTGTCTCTTGGAAAAGTGTACTGATACGACAAGGGGATGTGCAACTACTGGATCTTTGGTGGGTGGCAAGCGTCATCTGGGCGGTGGCTCAGCGCCCCCGTCCACGTCGTCATGTAGGGTGCTGAGACCGGCTTACTGCATATATGCGGGTGGTTGTACGAAATGAGCGAGAAAACAATATAAGTCAGATTATCTGTCCACGTTGCAACGCCTTGTTCTGTTCGTGCCATCGTATCAAGATCCACGTGCATTTTCCCCAAGCTTTAGAATTCTCTCACAGACTCGATTCAAACACCTCTTTCATACAGAGACCTGGACGGTTGCATCAATCGAAATGAGTACAGAGGACATCCAGACGGAGGCGTACCAGCGAGAGTTGGAAGTTATGCGCACCGCACCTTGCCATCCTTTGACGCCCGGTTTCAGCACAAACTATGGCTATGTTCCCTCCTTCGCCGCCGGTGTAGCCCTCAGCGTTCTCTTTTCCATACCCCTCTTCTATCATACCTTCCAATCCATCCGCCTTCGTGCGACCGTGTCCATTCTGCTCGCCATAGGAGCCTTAAGTATGTGCCACATCTCTTTTTATCCTTTGATACTCGACCATAACTTTTCCGCCTCAGTCTCTGAACATCATTCCGTTTCATAGCCGAATTAATAGGCTGGGTCTCCCGTGCCTACGCCGGAAAATGCCCATACAACGCCGACGCCTTTATGTCGCAGATAGTCACCCTCATTATAGCCCCTGTCTTCTTCGCCTCTGCCATTTACGTCCTCCTTGGCAAGCTGATTATCAATCTTGGCCCTTCATCGTCATCGATCTCTCCTAAATGGTACATTATTGTATTTTGTACTTGCGACGTTCTTGCTCTTATTATCCAGGCCATCGGGGGAGCCATGGCCAGCATAGCAGATACGGACGAGGATATGTCTATGGGCTCGCAAATTATGTTGGGTGGCATTGCGGTCCAACTGTTCACCATGACGCTATTCGGTGGGTTTCTGGGGGACTTTTTCTGGAGAGTCTTCAGCCATGTGCGTGGCAGTGTCATTTATGGGATGAAGCTAGTGTTTGTGTCACTCACTATTAGCTTCGTGATGGTATATATTCGAAGCGTTTATCGGGTTATCGAGCTTGCTCAGGGCTGGAACGGCTATTTCCTCACGCACGAAGTCTACTTCATTGCGCTGGACGCCGTCGTGATGGTAATTGCGGTAGCGATCTTTGTACCCTTGGATCCGGCAGTCATTTTGGGCCGTGAGGGACTGCCTGGCTTTTCGAAGAAGATGCGAGAGAAGAGGTCGGTAAGCAATGGCGAGGTGCCCGGTGAATAGCACAGTTGCGGCAGTGGCAGCTCGCATATAGTTAAGAGTGTGTGACTGGAGGCAGGGGAGGGGGGCTTTCCAAAGTCAGTCGTGCTGGTCAAAAATGGCCTGCATAACTATCTGTGAAATGGAATTGGTATACAATTCCCATGGTAGTTAAAGCTAGCCTATGCGTTCATGAATTTGAAGTACGTGGTTGTCATGGTGTTAGGTGTTTCCACACTTGCAGGTGCCGCTTTGATCCTCCCTTTGTGATCCTGAGTTTTACCATTGATTACGTCTTCAATGTTGGCTCGATATAACATGGTACGGAGACCTAGACTTGAGCACCTTCGCAAAAAGAAACACGAGTAGGGATACGGATGATGGCTATGATAAACACAAGGACCCTCAAGTCAGCAGAAAGGAAGAAACACGTAGTAAATTGAAGAAGTCTTGCGCCCTTAAACACAACATTCTTCCGCAGATGATCAGTCATAATTGTTCGCAACTCATGTTCGCCCAAGCCATATAGTCACTCCGACTCCTATACTTTTAGACCATTTAACATGCGCTGAGAGACGTTTGTCCTTTGCAGTTAGCCGTGGTAGTCACCTTCGAACTCTCCTGTCCCTTCTGGACACCCTTGTACTCCTGGCACACCTTCGTAACCGCTGCGCCGCATGAGTTGAACACGGTGGACACGTCGCCGAAGTTGGAGTTGATGCCGGTGAGAAGCTTCACGTTATTCGCTTTAACGTTCTCAATAACAACATTGCGAGGCCGTCCATTATTTGCGCAATTACCGCAAGCACGGTAAAGCCTGTTCGATGCTACCACGGTGAAGTCCTTGATCGTCACGGTCCCCTTGCCTTGATGCAGAATGACATTCTCGACTGCGGACTGTGCACCTCCTCCCTGGATGAGGATGTCGCCGTTTCCGACGAGCGTGATGGCATCTGTGTCATTTACGTCAACCCTCTGACCAATGATATGGTTCCTGAGTGTTGTTGAAAAGGAGCTTACCATCGCAAACCTTGCGAAACCAGACATTTTTCAGCGTGCAAGCACCTCTGCAGTGGATACCCTCTACTTGGCCAATGCCAATGATGGCGTTGCTGAGTGTCGCGCCGTCGTCCAGGATGAAGACGGGATGGCCACCCGGTGTCTCGACGTCTGTCTCGCAAGCGCGTCCTCGGTCGTATTCTTTGTTTCACATGTCCTTCGAACCGGAAATCACGCTCGGCGGAGGGAGGGAGATGATGGAACCGCTCCTTGCTGGAATATCGAGAGTCTGCCCAGCGACGAGACTGGCAAGAACTGCAACGGGGAGGAACTTGGCAATGGCCATGGTCACCATGTTGAGGAAGTAGATCAAGTCTAGAGAGTAGTTCCGGATATGCTCAATGATATTGAGGTAGAGCCATTTTCAAGTTGATGGACTTTAGCAGCCATCCACTTAAATAATTAAAATCACAAGATGCCAGGTTACCATTAGATGAGGTGAAAATAAGGAGGGCACCACGCATTCCCATGAATTCCACCTCGTAGCTCGTATACGCTTGTTTGTTGAAAAGCTTGGCAATATGTGTAAGACGGTGTGAAGAGAAAAAACAATTTTCCGTGTGGGCTATTGCATCCCTTTGTTTCCTCGCGTTCCGTGGATTCCATATAAGTAGGGCGAAAGGCGAGGAGAATAAAATGTTCCATCTGATGGCATACCACTTGATTCGTGGTTAAATACCGGGATGCATGCATGTCGAACTTGCGGACTAGAAGTCCGCTCTTGGGGGACTGTCCGACCATAATTATTCCACTCATCACCTTTGAAAGAAACAGGCTCCCCCGTCGATTTAGTGAAAACAAAAGCGATGCGATGATTTGAAACTTCTTGGCAAGGACCATTTGGAGATGCTGTCCCACTAGCGATCGTACCCCTTAATCCTAGAGGACCCCTGTTTTGTCATCCCACCAGTAGAACAGCGCGATCCACCAAATGGAACTTGATGTCAGATTCAGACGAGACTTATTCATTACCAAGACTTTCCAATACCTTGGCCGATGGCACAAAAAAGGTAGACCCCGTGACTGCTTTCGAAAAGTCCAATATTCTGTCATGCAGCCCGGGCGGATTGCCAATGAACATCCGCTCAAGCATCTTCTCCGTGACCCAGAGCTTATTGGAGTACCCGATGAAGTAGGTGCCAAACTCCCCAGAGGCTGGAGATCCAAAAGGCATGTTATCCCTGAGGATGTCATGCTCGTTTCCGTCCTCGTCCTCGATGGTTGCTAGGCTCTTGTGAGACTGCTGGCGTCCATCATCCGCGTCGTTTAGCTCTATATTGTCCAATTTTGTCCGCCCAATGATGGATTCCTGCTTCTCGGTAGACAAGCTGCGCCATGCCTTGAGATCGTGGAGATACTTCTGCACCACGACGTAACTTCCCCCGGGTGCGGCCTCGGACTTGTCATCTTGTTCGGTGATGACAACAGCTTCAGAGACGTCTGAGCCAACGGGGTTAGCAGTGCCGTCGACGAACCCTAGCACATCGCGTGCATCAAAGTACCGAAACCCAACCGTCTCGTCTTCCGTCTTGACCGCATTGCCTAGCAAATCCATGAGTTGTCTCTCAAACTCGAAGGACATGTCTCTCCTCTCCGATCGGATGTGAAATAACAGGTCACCAGGTGTCGATACTGCAGTGTGTTTAGCACCCCGGATCTCTTTAAATGGTCTCAACTCCGTCGGCCGGGGCAGTTGCGTGAGCCCATCCCAGATTTTGCTGCCGATGCCGACGGTGCAAGAGAGATTGGCGCTCGGGTGGCGGGTCGAAATGTTCTTGGTGATGTCCGAGATACTTGAGACGGCAGATCGAATGTTCTTGAGGGCATCTGGTACATCTGTGGCCGATAAGACGAGAAAGGTGGCCGATTGTGTCAAGGGGGCTTCGACGGCTTGGGGATTCATTGTGGCCGGTGAGCTGATGCTGTGGTGCAAAGAGAATGGGCGTTTACAGTTGACCGGTATCAGAGTCGTGCTCGCCCGGCGCGAATGCTTGAGTTTAGTGCGTGATGGTGCCAGGGGTCGATTTAAGGACTTAGCGACCCGAATCGCTAGCATGTTGATGGGCTTCAAAACAGTTTACTTATTGCGGTCAACCACACAATATGTAATGGACATTAAAGGCCATTAGCAAGACGGATAGCAGGCGTGCAAATAGGGCGCGTTCACGGCATTGAAGACCTCGGGATGATGGGGGCATCTGGCAAGGAGAGTTCATGGGCAGCAAAAGCATCGCTCGGCGACTCTGTGATAGGCATCAAGAGTAAGCCTTCAGAACCAACCTCAGCATCAATCAATTGGCCACTGCTGCAGACTTCAGCGACAAGTCGGTGTTTGCAGGGATACAAACAGTTAATTACGAGGGGCAGTCAAACCAATGGCAAGGCCTGTATTGCAGATGCGAGCTGTGCGATTTGCGATGCCGAAGCTTCTGCGCGGGATGAGGCGCGGAGTTTCGGGATCGATCCGGCGACCCACAACGGCAGACACCGAAGGCGCGTTTTCGGGAAGCCCGTTCACTGGCAGACGCTAGGATTCCGATGTTGCTCCGGCCAAGGGGATGGAAGCTTGTTCTCGGCTTTACTCGAGGTGGCCTTGCCGCAGCCTGGACCAAAACATTTGCAGCTAGATGAGCACGGAGATCGGCTGTTGGGGCAAGGTGTCATTCATTAGGGGGGCTTCAGTGCGTTGCAGCGTAGTTTTGACCCAATCGCCTGCTGGAATGAGGGCGATGGTTGTCAGCGCGACCAGTGTTTGGCAGTTATCAGTATGTCGATGACGTGTTCTACTCTTCATACATCATGTTTGAGCTTGATCAAAGTCACAATTTCATCATTCGATGCGAGGGGATTCCAGATTTCGCCACAAGTTTTGGTTCATTGTTTTATTGTTTTTGTGTTCATGTTACAGCGCCCATATGACCTGGAAGCTACTCCTCACGAAGGCCACCGCGAAGAAAAACTGGCATCATAGATCGGAGCCGATTTACTCATCCTCGGCGTCTCTCGGATCGTGACTCTTCCAATACTTTTCATAATCATCCCAACTCTGAGATGGGAAAGCGAGCGGAACAGTGATTGGGGCAAACGGAATACCCTTGTCTGCGAACTCCTGAAGGCGGGCCTTGGTCTTCGGTCGGGTGTTGTTCACACTGTAAACCGAGATTCTGTGGCAGGAGCTGGTGACATGCAGGCCCCAGTTCCATGCAGTGCGGACATCAGGCGGCTGGGTGTTGAGAGAATTGTCCCAGCAGCGACAGACAATTTCAATCCAGCCCTCAACATCGCAGGGCAAATCCATCTCCCAAGTTCGCCAGGTCCACTTGCGCTTCTTTGAGAGATTCTCAACAGGCACGGTGTACCAGTTGAAACCTCCGTCGGACGAGAGCTCAACGCGCTCCGGCCAGCGTCCACCACCAGAGTAGGCCCATCCCTTGCAGCGGATCTTGCCGTTGTGGATGACGACCTGCTTGGTCCAGGGCGACATGATGGCCGAGCTGACTGGCATTTCTTGGATCTGGATGCCATCCGTGAGCTTGAAGTTGTGCTTGCCGACCTGCTGGGGGAAGTAGAGGTACTCCTGGCTCTGGACGGGCGCGCGAGTGGGGTTCTTGATGGCCTTGATGCGGTAAAGCCACTTCACACTTCGAGCGCCGATGTAACCGAAGACGACGATGCGGAGGGGATATCCATGGATACGCGGGAGGACTTCGCCGTTCATCTCCCATGCCAGCATGACCTCATTGGCCTTGACCTTGGACCAAGGAACACTGACGAGGTAGTTCATGGTCTTATCGTCTTTGAAGTAGGTGTCCGCGCCATAGAATTCGAGGTGCTTGGCTCCCTCAATGAGTCCACCACATGCCTTGATCACCTTCTTGAGACTAATTCCGACGTATTTGGCAGTGCCGATCGCCCCCTCTGCCCAAGGAGCTTGGGCTACTTCGTCACCCTGGCCGGGGTACTTCAGGATCTGCTCAATGCGTCGGGTTCCAGAACACTGCATCGTGATAGTCTTCTCCATGCGCGGGAACTTGGTCTCGTCCATGAGGTCGTCGAGAGTGAAAGACTTGGGGTTCGCGACGAGACCGTCCAGGAGGAAGCTGTAGTGTTCCTTATCGATAATTGGGATACCGCCGTGGTTTCGCACGAAGTGTAGGGGGTTCGGGGTGATCTCCTTGTCGGTCACGAGGCGCTTTGGAGGTTCGCCATTGTAGGGAAACTGGAGAAGATGGAGCATGTCGGCGTGCTTCTCCTTGAGGACGATGTCCCAAGAGTCGTCGGGGATGCGAGAGAGAGCGCCGCCGACCGCCTTGTGCCACATCTTCCAATGAGTGCCAGGAAGCACAGGATTTGTCGCTGGGATTGGACCGAGCTGGAACTCCGGATTGGGAGGGAATGTTTGGGAGGTCAAGATCTTGTGTGCCGCAGCCTTTTTCTCGGGATAGTTCTCCCACTCGACGAAGCTGTGCGGTTGAGCTCCGTCAGCGATTGTAAAGGACTGTGTTATGGAAGAACATCATCATGACCGATTGCGACTCACCCAGTCCACCCTTCACGCTCTTCAGTGAAGAGCTTGTTCGGGTCACCAACACTCTTGATGGCGGCCTCATCTTTCGTGAGGTCACCAAAGATCTGAGGAGGAAGGGCCTTGGTCTGCGGTCCCGTCATGTCAAGGACGGGAAGCTCAGCCCCAGCCAGGCCCTGCTCAATCTTCCATTCGTCGGGTCTGTTAGTGGTCTTCATGATGTATGAATGATTCTGCACGTATCAGCGTGAGAATAGCACAAAAGGATGGCGAGTGGTGAAAAAGCTTCGCTTTATTATTATTCTACCTATGAGAGGGGTAGAGGAATGCTATGGGCCTGGTCTAAAACACTTTCCTGCGTGCCCTCCATGACGTCTACCAGGCCGAGCTCACCGATGGGACGCTATCGATGTTCTGGGACCGAGGCGCTCGCTTCGCATACCAACCGGTTTCCGCAGCTCCTAGCGAATCAACGGTTGTAGCTGCACTAGCCCAATGATAGCTGTCGGAGCTTAGACAGAGTTGGGCTTGGCCGACTTGAGTTGAATAAGCGTGAACCCAACCAGATGAGAAGGTTTGTTTGATACGCAGCTACGGCACGGAAGCTCTTGTCGCTGGCGGCCTTTGCTGTTGCTAATCCCGCTGCGTGCTTGACTGCAGGTGCCTAACATGTGCTAACGCCAAAGATTGTGACATGTCTTGAACCTTACTGGGTGCCAGACGCTAAGCAAGGGGCTGCCGGGTTAGTACCGGTGATCCGAGCGGGGGTT